TGTCAATGAAAGCTGTCTCTGGAGCTATTTAGCCACAGAGGTGGACTTGTACTATTCCCATTAGAGCTAAAAAAAAAATTAAAAAGCTTTGATGACTCATCAGTCACTAATAATAGATGATAATAAATGAATGCCTTTCTTGTTTATATATATATATATATATATATATACTGTATATATGTATACACGTCTCCTGTAATACATTTAATTAGTATCTGCTTAGGTTTTATGTGTTTTTGCAGTCTTATTTCCTGTGTCTCCTGTTGAGTGTGTCTCTCTTTACGTCAACGCTCAGATATATTAGTCTCTTTGGGGAAAATAATTCCTGATAGGATTTCCGGTCCACTAATTCTTCGATTCTGGCTTGCTTTACGCACAAATATGTCAGTTATGTGAAGACCAAAGTCACGCTCATCGAACTTGGTGACAGGATAAGTTAAATGTTTTCAGAAAGCGCCTCAAAGATGTGAAAATGCTTAAAAAGATGCCATCTGCTGTCAAGTTATCACCCATTTAGCTGCATAATGTTTTATTTTTGCCAATTTATTTTAATTTTTATCTTGATTTGCTGGAAACGGAAGAATTCTGCTGAGCGGCGTCATGTCATGACATCCAGAAGCCTTTTCTGTTTTGTGGAGGTGGGAGAAACCTTCATCACAGGCCAGCACACGGTGGCAGGTTTATGGCAGATTTGATTCAGCCCTCACACAATGATCATCGTACCCCAGATATTCCGAACACAGGAATGGAGGAGGTGTGCGGGGTTAAAGGCTAACAAAAGAAACAGAGCCAGGGGGTCAAGAAAAAGAGCTGTAAAATATGACCCACATATACTTGAAGTTTCAGGGTCACCTCCTCTTGCTCGCCACTCGCTTTCCCTCTTTGGTGGAATTGACGAGGTGGGAGATCGGTGGCAATTATCTGCTCTTGACAAACCTAGCTCGGGTAGATATCAGGTCACCTGTGATTCTGATTGAGGTTCCTGAGCACTCACACACATGCATACATGGGAAAGCAGCAGGCGAATCTGGAGCGTTTCATTACATTTCTGATTTGGTCATTCATCATGCCACAGCGAGGTCACGCGCAGCAGCCAACACACGTTCATGTCTGCGGAGCAGAATATGTGGAAGTGTGTGTCTGTGTGTGTGGCTGTCAATGCAGGATTTTTTGTCTTGTTTTCATTGTCGTCCTTAGAAAATAAGAACCTGATCATTTTAGCCTGAGCAGACAGCTATTTCTTTCCAAGAAAATCATCAGTTTGCGCTGTTTGTGTTCTAGAACAGCCTTCTGATTTGTCAATGACTGTTATTCTGTGTCTGAATTGATATTTGTAAAGAGAGGAGTTGAGGTAACAAACAGTGAACAAGATTGTTGTTTAGGGCCAATATCAATAAAGTTAGATTGATATACGTTGGCTGTTTTCTATTCTTTCTTTGACCACCATATACATATCATCATCTTTTATTCCACTTCTACACGTGGGGTGGTGTGTCATGGTTATTTAATTCCTGAAACACACAAAGGATTCATCTTTGCGTCCTGAGTTGTTGCTCCTGACATAGTTTACTTGCTCCTCTCTAATCAGGTTTCATTTTTGGAAGCTGAGACATCCTTGGAGAGGTTTTCTGTGATTAAAATTCCAGGTCACTGAAAGGAGAATGCAGGAGAAGATTAGAGAAATTAAAGGAGCCCTACGGTGTTAAGAGTTTGAAGGCAGTGTTCACAACAAGCAACATGTCCCCCGAAACAGATCTACCTAAGGTGAGATGATTTAGACAGAAAGGTGGAAATAAGAGTTTGTTTTGGACTTTCTGGTCTACTGTAGTTATGTGGCTGTGAGACATTGGTGGAAGGGTAACTACTCAAGTTTTTGTACTATTATTGGAACAAAAAAAAGGTATTTTTACTCGTTTTTAAGTTTTCTTTCACACGTTAAAACTTCAGTCACCAAAAATAGTAATAATAAAAATAACAATAATAACAAAGACACCAAAATAACATATTATTGAAATTCAGGAAAGCATATTTATAGCGTTTACAACATTTTCCACTGATTGGTGGAAAAAAAATATATTAATGTTACATGGCATTTCATACAAAGACAGTTTATGAGTTATAATTTACCAAAAAGTCTGCAATGAGAGACTAATCCAGCAGACCTAAATGTGTCTATGGGCAAACCTCTCTACACCTTCCATATTGCAGGAATCTGGTAATGATAGCACACTGAAACACTGTAAAACTGGTTAGAATTGAGAAAGCGAGTTTGCCTTGATATTCCTGCTCTTTCAACCTATTTCTTTGGGGTGTAAAGATAAATGTAAACTAAGATCTAATGACAACACTGAATGTTATATCATCTAGTAATGTATCAAAATCATCTCACAATGTAGACATACGCAACCATAGTACATTACATAGTCTCCTTTTATAAGAATTATGTTCATCTGACAGCTTCGCATACTGATTTTGTTGGATTTTTTTTAAATATCTCAGTCATCTCAATTAGTAGCAATATCTAACTGTTTCTTTGCATGATTTCCTTTTTTGTTGCATATTTATGCTCAAAATGTTGTCTTTCTCCACATGTGGTCCCAAAAAATCCAGCAATTAATTACACAGAAAAACATGTTCGTCTAATGACATGGAAATGTTACAGACGATGACAGGAAAGGGATGATGAGAGGGGGAAAAGTGGAATATTTGTATTTAAATTCCTTCCGGCACCAAGCCTTCACAGCATCATTGCAAGATGCATCCACTCAAGTCCACTCTTTCTCATGTATGCAGCCAGATCAGTGCTGCATGAATTTATTTCTTTTGGTGAACTAATGCTTGAGTGGACTGCATTTGAATGTCCCGGTGTGAGTATTGTGAGAAAGCGATCAGACTGTTTAGTTCAAAGAAACCAGAAAACACACCCAGACAGACAGATCAAAGCTCTGCTCCGGTCTTTGTTCAGTCACCTGAGTGATGGTGTGTTTCTGAAGATCAGTCGGTGATGCGTCAGGAGACAGGGAAACTGTCGATAACAAGAAAAACAGATGTGCGCAAAGTCTGCCATCGTGCCTGTCTGCATATCAGGTTTTTTTTTCTAAAATTTGACCTGCGGATCTTTGAAGAAATCCCACATCAGAGGCTATCTACTAATATAATGTAATAGATTGATATTCTTTATTTAATTAAATTTGTCATGAGGTTGATATGGGGAAATGAAAAAATGCTATATTGGTTTTTATGTTGTTTTAAAAAAAAACGCTTTATAATCTTATGTGTGTTTTTGTTCCAACCATCTACAGTAGATTAGTTTAATTTCTTCTGTTTATTTTATGATATTGCCATCTAGTGCTCAAACACTATCATCACCCCTTGATGGGTTCAAATAAGTGCTTAATCAAAAATGCATAAATAAATAAAAAGGTTATAGTACTCAAACTAAATGCAAACCAAATATAAAGACACTCTTTTATTTAGGCACTTGACACAAGCCATGGAATGTACATATCAAATACGACAAATTTGAAGGTAATTTTCACATTCTTGCATCTGTAAACATAGTAGGGATAATACATTCTGTCAGTTAATTTTTCTTCTACCATACCTCTCCTGAAGAGGACACATGTATGTAAAATTAATTGAATATCAACAACAGCTAAAGTGTACAAAACAGAATTGGAGCCAAATATAAATCTATAACCCAACTCTAATTACATGCTCGTGTATCAACTCCTCCTCCATGAACACGAGCCTTCCAATTGCTGTCATTTTACCTGAAATGCATTTATTTAGTAATTTCACATGTGCTCAAGAGGTAATTAAACCAATGAGGAGGCGTCTAAATCTACTGTGCAGCACGAGAACACTTCTCCACTTCAGTAAATACATAGACACATAGTTATTTAAGCAAGCATGTGCAAACAGAGTCTACAAAGTGTCTGTCTGCTTTGGCTCAGCTTTCAGGTGTGCACATTTAAAATGTGTACGTTTCAGTGCTTGAACTTACAACTTAATGAATTATCGATTTTACAGTCACATGACCTCTTTCAATTCTAAGGTTTTATGTATCTCGGCACAAAAAAATAATTGTTGCTCTCTAGGTCTTAAAATTACATTAATTCAGCCCAAGACTAACAATATAAACATGTCATTATTCATCCTAAAAGAGTTTAGCCAATAAAGAAAAAGTAAGATTGTGTTGAAACTCCGCCCTCACAATTTCCATAAAGAGAATAAGTAGCAACTAAGTTCTGCTGCTCAAAGGCACTTGATTTCCTAATTATGAGCGAGTGTGAGCACCTTTGTAAATTCAGAATCTTGGGCAATTTACTGGTCTGAAGCATTTAGGTCTGTGTTAACGTGTCATCAAAGACAAATGAGCTGATTAAGTTGTTGTCCATCAATTGGGAAAGGGGTCCATTAGTCTACAGAGAGACATGCTATTCACAAGTTTATTCTAGAGTCAGGCTGAGAAATTGGACAAATCAGCTACATTTTCATTGTAAAAGGCCTTTTTAGAATGTATAATGTTAAAGTTACTACAGATTCCCGACTGCCATGGTATGAACATATGAAAATAACAGATCCTGATATATGAAACCTTCAGTTTGAAAGAGAGTAAATAAATTTTTTTCACATGACTGTATCATCCCAGGTAATCATAAAACTAACGCTGTCTAGCTTATTCTTTGCCTCCGGGGTTTTTGTCAGTATGTCACCCATTCTTTTAAAAACTGCACGCACACACCTGCTTTGTAGAAGCTTCCCAGAGCAAGGTGGTTAAGGCTGCTTTTGGGCTACAGTTCATGAACACATTCACAATGAGGTTTCCATATGAAGGCTACAGCTCAAGTTTTGAAAGGACTTGAACTTTCTTATACCCTGTTGTCCTCTCGTAGAGTGGCCCCTGTCAAAACTAAACCTCCAACCTGGGCTCAGCTGGGGCTCACAATGAGGGTTGCTAATAAGGCCGTAGTTAAAGGAGCACTCCAACACAAAACAAAGTTTGGAGACCTTTTCTGCCTGTTGGCTTAAAAACTGTGATACCTAGTATCATCTGCTCAGTATTTTCCTGATGGTAAAGGAATTGCGTAAACAAAAGTTTACATTAAAGTTTACATGGTTTTTAATTCTTTTTTAAGAAATCTAATGTTTCATGCTTTGTGAAAAAGGCTTTAACGCATCCTTAGAGAGTCAAATTTAGAAAAAAATATAATTTAAGAGTCAAAGGGAATGATTACTGTTCAGCAGATTTGATTCAAGAATCTCACAAACTAACAAGTAGTCCACTATTTCATACTCAAAACAATAACTTGCTTAGTAGACTGTAACAACAGCTTTCTCCCTCTATTGAGCCCAAGTCTGAGCCCTTCCATCGTGTGGCATATATGTTACATGTGGTGGTCTTTGTGTCACATTGTGGTAACATCTGTGTAAATCCAGCCCGTTAGCCCGTCCCGTTCTGCTGAGTGAGGCTTTCCCAGGGGCAGATGATCTCCTCAGTTCCCGTTCTTCCCCGAGAGACATGCCTCGTCTCCTCTTCCTCATCCTCGGACTCAATGGGGTAGATCCGACACTCAGGAGGAATATCTACTTTAATCTGAAAAAAACTTTGAGAATTTTGCAGAGAGGATTTTTTTAAGACAGTTATGAGTGTTGAAAAACTGATGCAGTAACATTATTTTAAGTCAAATTTTCCTATGTAAGGTCAACGATTCAGTCTTTTATGCAGATGAGTTGAAATCTATTTTAGTTTGCTTTTGTTCCTGTCGATGACGTTTCCCCTTCCACAGCAGCTAAATTTACTGACATCTGGAAAAGGACAAAGGTCCTAATTGGTCTGTTCACCACACTGATTCTAATGTATGAATGTGTCTGAAGTGTGTCATTTGACCATGTGTCTGTCTGAAAGCACTTATTCTTTGGAAATGTAACTCACTTGCCGATGCGTCTGGGTGGAGCTTGACTGGGCTCGTCGGGGGTGATTGGCTGAACACGGCTGCTCGCTCCAGCAGTGGCATGGCATTTAGGCGACAGGCTGGCAAACATGGCAGAGGGGCTGCAGCCGCGCATCAGCAGGCGGCGCAGGGACAGGGCCATCCGTGACTTGGGCATGTTTCCTCCTGCGTGGCCCCGGGCCTCGGCGCTCCCTTTGCCTTCCCCCTCGGAGGCCTCGGCCCGCCGCTCCGAGGCCGAGGTGCTGTCCAAGGCCACGCTGATGGGGGAGGGACAGGCGGGGCTGTGGGCGAGGAAAGGGAGAGAGGGCGAGGCACTGGCAGAGGGGGGGTCAGTGATGCCGGAGTAGACGGCAAGGTGGGGGACGGGGGTGGTGAACCGGCACAGCTGTGAGGTCAAAGGGCGAGAGACACAAGTCAGACAGCTCCAAGACAGAAAGTAACGCCACGTAAATGTGTGAACATTTTCAGCTGTGCAGCTGTCTCACACTAAGGTAATAAACAGTGAAATGTACAAATCCATAGAAAATCTGATGGATTACGCATCATACAATAATCATAAACTTTTATCCTCATGAAGAACTAATTAACTGTTTATGAAAATATGAATGAATAATGATTGCAGATCAGTTTCAGAAGTTCGCTGAACTGTTGATCTGTCCAGAAGCAGAAATGTATTTCTGTTGTGCATGTAGACATATAATAACTAGGCAGAGGAAAACAGCCTCTACATTTCTTTGTATCACAATAAGTGATTAACAGATTTCTAAAGGTGAAAAAAAAACTGTTTCCAGGTCTGGAGAGCTGCATGCAAATGGTAGAAATGGGTTTGTCAGTCCCTGTGCTCTCTTAACTCATCTTTACTTGATTCTTAGTTTTTCTTTACAGTCACTGTTTACTTAGGTTTGGTTGTCAAAAAACAGTTGGGTGGGGACACAAAGAAATAAATTATTCGACTGGGATATTAGGTTTTACTAGATTTGAGCTGCTAGATGAAAGGTTACTAAAGAGATATAGTGTTTTGTTTTTTTCAGGAAAACACTGGACTAATTGCTTGTCATGTCATGTCATGGTATTGGTTTAGTTGTATCCTCCCCAAACCTGTTTTGTGTTCAGTTGGTGTGCTCCTGTGGATATTCGCTCTGTTTATAACCTCCCTGGTTTCTGCTCTCTGTCAGATTGCATAAGATCTCCTTTGAGAAGCTCTCCAGCTTTCCCTGTGTCATGTTTTTTGGCTCGGTCTTGGTTGCATTGTTTGCTTCTGGATTTTTTAACTGCTCAGTTTTACATTTTTCAGTATCTGCCAACGCTTTTCCCCTAACCCTAACCCGAGGGCTGGTAACCTGTGTTTTCACTTCTATATTGTTTGCCAAAACCTGCCTCATCTTTACATAACTGCCTGCATCTGGATCTTCACTCAGTCTTTCCATCACATGTAACGAATATTTGCACACATAAAGTATGAATGAAAATGCATCACATGGTTTTTATAGCAACAGTTAGTACTTTGACAGTCCTGGCCCTCTAAGGTGATGTTATTAAAGTGAGCATCAAAGACAGAAGGAATGTCTTGGCCAATCTGAAATGACAACTGTACAGGTAGACAGACACATTTTGTGATTTAATGGAAACAAGGAATAACTTAACACACATAAACATGAGAGGTTTTTGTGGCTTTTTTTTATTAACTTATGACTGAGACAAAATAATGAAAGCACTACAGAACACATGATGAGCAAAACTGAACAGTACAACAGAAATGAATGACATGGACATTAATGTAAAAGACGATGACAAACGATGTCCAGATGTGATTATAGGTCTTTAACCTCTTCATGAAAATGTCATTCAGAATGTATTCACATTAAATATCTACAACAAAAAGAATCTGCTCACTCAAATGTTTCTCTAGCCTAGATTTGGATATTTACACTGTGACACTGGAAATCAGTTTAATTTGGTTGTGGGACAAAAATTTACATTTAACAAGCAAAGTTCTTGTCGCATTTCGTAATTTTTTGTGTAAATACTTTGATACCAAATGACTAATGGGGGATGCTGCAACATGCCTCTAACTTAATGTTCACATAAATATAAAGATTTTTTTTTTTGCTTTCCTTTTTACATAGCATGCAAACTAATGTGTACATTCAAATGAAAATGAAAAAATGCACTAAACTGCACTAAAGCGTCACTATTGCACATTCCCGCTTCCATTTACTGACTTTTTGTAGAAATTTGAGGCTGTAAAAATCACTGACCCATTGTGAAAATGTTTTAAAGCTGTTTTAACCGAAAATGACCTAAAATGGCACCTCTACAGATGTTATGATAAAGAAATAAACTAAACTGAATATTTAAAAATACCAAACAGACACAATTAATATCAATTCACTAGTATTCATTGATATTTATTCTGCCTGTTTTTGATCATGTGTCTTGCATTCACTTAGTAGGACGACGAGGGGGCACGGGCACCTCTTTGCCCTGTTTGCTGAGTTTGCTCATGACCTGTGTGATGTCAACAGGGGCGTTGGCGGCCATCTTGGCCTTTTGCTCCTGCTCCTGCTGCCGAATGATGATGGGGCTGAGACTGGGCCGTCTGTTCCTCGCATTCTGCTCCAACTGGGACTCACTGGAGTAAAAAGGGGTGATAGAAAGGAAAGGAAAATCAGAAAGTAGAGATTGATGATCAGATGCACATATGTTGAGCTTTTCTAAATTTAAGATATGATTGAAAGTTCAACTTTGCAAGCAAAGGGCTGAAGTTGTTGGAATTAAAGACTCCCTCCTACTTGAATCTGTGCTCATCGGGACAGATGGCTTTCTTCGTTGTATCCTTAAACACTTGAGATTTCAAGTAACGGCCGAAGGAGTCCTGCAAAACACATGTAAAAGCTTCACGATGTTGTGCATTTGCCTCGCTATGTTTTTGTGTTCCCACTGCTGGTATTTTTACTGACCTTCTTCATGAGCATGTATATGTGAGTTTGGGCTGCATCCAGAACGTATCTGTGTGGGTGTTTTAACCCCTTCACTGTGATTTCCATCGTCTTTCCGTCAATGTTGATCCATCGTGGGGCACCACGGGCCAGGAATGTTCTGGTAATAACAACATGAGGGAAATGAACAAATGTTTGAACACAAATGTTTAGAGCCATTTCAGAAGTCCCCCCTCTGTAATAAAGACAGCACGAAACCCAGACACAGGTAGGTGAATTTAAAATGAATTAAAAGTGAAGTTGTATTTGTCCTTATTCATAAGAGATTTGCATTAAAGAAAAACAGTACTTGTAGATATGTTCCGCTTTCTCCTTCATGGTCGCAGCAGTACCCCACTTCAGGTCCTCACAGCTCTCCCAGAATGCCAAGTTTTCACCTAAAATGTAGAATTAAGGATACATCACCGTGCGGAAATGAGAATAAAGAACTTTTAAAGGAAGTTCGTCAGTCATTTATTTGATCCAACTGTTATACCGCTGAACTCTTTCTTCAGGAAGAGTCTGAAGTCGTCTCGCCCTCGGGGATCTGAGAGCAGCTCACTGAAGCTGAACGTCCATCTCTCCACACGCATCTTTGTGGGTATTTCCACGCTGCAGAACAAATAAAGCACCACAAAGCAAGAAAATCACCTAAATGAACTAGATCAATTCAAAGAATACGCATCCAGTAAAAGTAAAGCAGTCAAAGCAGACTCACTTGGCCATATTCAGGGCCCAGTACGTGTTGTCATCAGTGAGCCAGGGGTTGCTTGGAAGACACTTTGAGAGAAAAGGGTCGTGGCCTTTATAAGTGGAGCAGTATTTCACCAATCTGTAAGGGATGGAGAAAGAATTTCCTCTCTGGTTTGTGTATTCTGTATAAAAGAGATAACACTTCCATTTCAAGCAAGGGTGCAGCCACAGGTACTGAGCAGCAGGTCATTTCAAGTGAGCCTTTCACTTTTTGAGGGGGGTGATCTGCAAGATTACATAGGAAAAAAAGTATCTTTGGGTAAAATCACAGGCCTATGTGGAAATCTGCGGTGAAGCCATGAAAGAAAAGCTAAAAGTACTTTCTAATTAGCTAAGCTGCAAGAGAAAGGCAATTAAGTGTACTGGTGACACTAAAACATTCTCATTTGTGGACGTTTAGGATGAAGTCTTACTGCTTTTCTGCAGCATAACTTAATAGGGTATGAAATAGCTGCCACAGGAAATAAAAGGCAGACTCTGAGGCTCAGTAAATGTGGACAGAGGTACAGGAAGAGGGGAGGCTAACTACCGTTTTGGCTGAAATTAGAAGGCGCAGAATGAGTCATAGTACCACTAACGCAGGCGAATCGGTGGTGCAAACATGATACCATGACAGCGAGCGTCTTGTGCAACTTAACAATAAAAAGAAGGGGCCAAAAGGGTCATCAGCTAAAAGGGGAAGTTAAGACAATGTTATCAAGCCCTCAGTGTGCTGACCACCATAAGAAATACAAAGACTGAAGTGCATATTCAACTCGTATCAGGATTCTCAGAGTTCATTAGACTGAAATGATGACAACTTCCAAAAGACAATTCAAACTTCTCTTTTGAGTGTTTTTGTACTCTCCCACTTCACAACTGTGAACTTTCTGCCACCTACAGAGAAATGGCAGTCGTTTGGAGAAGATGACCAATGTATACTATTGTGAGATGAAGCCAATCAAAGTTTACTGGCGAGTGGCAAATAATATGAGGTAATATGAGCGGCTATCTTACGCGCCAATGGACACAGATGACTTCACTCTGGGCCTCATGATGGACTGCTGTGTGAAGATCATCTAAAAGAGGCAGGAGCAGTCTTGACACCCAGAAAATCCAAAAACTTTAAGTTTTTTCAAATGTTTGTTAGCAAGACGGGATGACAGAAACTTACAATTCTCTCATAGTCATCTGGCGTTTTTTTCTGGGAAAAGAAACACAGAAATTTGAGGTCAGGTAATGATGGAATGAAAAATTCAGTCGGTCTCAGTGTGCGAGTAGCTATCTTGAATTTTGGAAACAGTGTGAGGAGACATTTTGGGAGGTTTAAAATTGCTGTCGAGTTACAATATGACATGTTAATATAGAAATGTGAGGTTTTGGTGGTGTGGTGTGTGCTGGCATTTGCAGCCAGCCTCACTGTCTGGACAGAATAATCAAGCCATGGGGAAAGCCTGTGGAAGAGAAAGAAAGAGAAAAGAGAATATGTTTCATAAAGACACAGCAGACATAAACGAGGAAGCAGGTATCCTTTACTGCAGCTGCATTCATGCATTAAAGCTTCTTACTGAATGTAAGCTGATTGACAGGAATTATGTTCATGCAGGTCATGCAGTGACTTACCTGTTACCTCGTCTGCATTTGGATCTATCCGGCGCTCCAGCCCATAGTCCATCGCACTCACTGTCCCTGGCTACAGAGACAAAGAAGACAATTAGATAATGTGTGCTTACTTAAGGACTAATTAATTACAACAGATGGCTGTTTTCTAATGCTAATCATCAGCTAATTATGGAGCATAATATAATGCCTTTGAGACACTAAGAGGGTACTCATCAGTGTAAAATCAGACTTTCAGGACTCAAATCCTGCAAGCAATTATCTTTTTTTCCTCCAGGGGCTTTACAATATTTTGAGTGGCTCTATGAGCAGCCTAGATAAACCCCGTTAAGTAAGAAATAAGTAAAGCATATTGATTTTATTGAAATATTTACAATATTTTCACCCCGGACACCAGTCCTAAATGTTTCCTTTTTTTAATAATGCACCACACATATTTCCTCATAATTTGTTTTGCAAAAAAAAGGAAATCTCAGCCTCTTCGACGGGGTAAAGAAAATGTGCGTAGCTGTACAAACGCAAGGCTCGCATGGAGATTTGTTCTGATTACGGTGGTGCATTATATACCACAACTAAAAAGGGGGAGGTGTTCCAGTGCAGAGCATTTGTCAAATTCTCTGGTGTTACTTCATGTGACACAAATCTGAAAATTTGAGTTGGCAATTAGATATCCGCGCACACAAAGTCCTACGGATAAAAACTCACAACAGAATGCATTTGCATGAGTCATACAAATGATTTCATGTTTCCTACCCTTATGCAAGAGTTACATCATGCTTTGGCAGCGAATAGTGTAATTATTTCCTGTCTGCACATATATAAATAAACAGGCAGAGCACAACCATTTGTTTGGAGTCAGGTGTACCGTTTGCCTTTTAGCTTGACTTAGTCTGATAACATCCATTCTTCAATGCCCACATGCCCGTTCTGTAATCCAACCTCATGACACAAGACTCTTGATCCATATGAGGCACAAACCACTGTACCACAATCTCCCTGGCAGTTTGAAATATTAATCAGTTATGCCCTTTTCCTTTGCCTGGACGTATAATTATAATGAGGCATCATGGGTAGATATAATGAGATGCCCTGGGAGGTATAGAGGATGCATGCAATTGGTTTTCAGACTTCTGTGTCTGCAGGCATTCCACTTACAGCATATCTACAAGAAGCTGCATCCTGTCTTCACACTGCAAATCTGATAACTATCTGCGTGTGTGTACTTTAGCTACCCAAGTTGTGGGGATATATATCGATCTGTACAGTGACATTGTAGGTTTGCATGCATTCACATGACTAAAAGAACATCAAAATGGAAAGTCTCAAAGAAACAAGTGTAAGGTCAAGACATGCTATCTAAGGTGTGTGTGTTTTCCCACCGGAGGTCTGTGAACAACCCAGTAGGCTCTCTCCTGACAGTCAAACACCACACGGTCTGGTTTCTTCCTCTCTTTTGCAGCTCTAAAACCACACACAAAGAAGCAATCACACTCATTTTCTCCTGAAAACTGAGTCCTGTCACTCAGCTTCTCAAAGACCTACCTGTACTGCTCTTTAGCTTGCATCACTATGAAGTCCCATTTATGATTCATCCACTTGTGGAGATAGTTGTACTGCTCCTGCAGAGATTTAATAACACTTCAGGAAATTCCGACAGACAAAATTATTTCCTCCATCTTCTCTCGGCTGCTTTCTTTCTTACCTGCTCGTGCAGCTCAAGGACTCCTTTTTTACGTATGTTCTTTTTTGCCAAGTAGATTGCTTCAGTGACAAAACAGAAAGGGTTTTTTTACTGGTTGTGTGTCACAAGATATGAAAAAATAAAACACAGGCAGCCCTACTGCCACACTCACCATAATCTGTATCCTCAACAGCCCACTGCTGAGCGGGCCAGAAATATGGTGTCTGAAACAGGTATAACAGAGAACCTTAAAGAGGAAAAGTCACTAAGAAGTGAAGTTGTGTGGACGTACAGCAATCTATAGGAAGTACCACAGTACATCATATTCTGACATAGATTCTCAGAATCTGGGGACTATCCGTGAGTAAAAGGATTGGGTGAAAAATCAATTTTGGATGTCCATGATCTTCCAGCCTTCGGGGAAATCAAAGCATGGACTCAAAACACTCCCAAAAGTCATTTTCAGCTCGCTGTGCCAGCCACAAATGCAGGTCAAAGGTCTACCGTGCAGAGAGGAAGCTCTGTGTGAGCATGATCCAGAAACTCCTCTGAGCCAAAGCTAATTTCAAACAGGCTGAGGCTAAGTGGAAACTGTTCTGTGGTCAGAGAATGTAACATGTTACGTTTTTTGGGGTATCACGGATGCCATGTGCACAGGACTAAAGAACAGAGGTACCATCCGGTTTGTTGACATCTCTCACTTAAAAAACCTGCATCCCTCAGAGTATGGGGGTGCATTAGTGCAGATGGGACTGGCAATTTGGAGAGAGAGAGAGAAGCACCAATGCTGACAGGTATATACAACAGAAAGAAAGATATGCTCTATTTCATGAAAGATTTTGTTTTCAACAAAACCATCCCAAAGTTTAGTCTGACTGCTGGGCTGCTGCACACATCTGGCACATCATGAAACTCAAAATGATACAGTCAAAATTTCACTTTAACATTTGTCCTGTTCTTCATTCAAAACACATTCTGTTTTATTTGCATCCCTTGCAGTGTCCAAACTTTTGAAAAATGCATCCTAATATAATTATTACAACACAATTAGCTTAATAATGAGATGTTTAAGTTGCAGAACTCTTCAGTTTGGCCAATGTTCAATTGGGAAAACTTTGACAGTCCTACCACAATGAATCCCTTCACAAAGGCCTTTCTGTTGTGAATAAATACCTGAATAACTATATCAGTCAAATAAATAGATAAATATACCCAAAAACATTTAGCTATGCTTAAAAGTTAATAAAATATTTATTCCCATTTCTTATATTCAACTAATGTGACGTGGTTATCTAAGGCAAAGCAGCCCTCTGCAACCTTGAAATAATAAGATACCTATTCAAGAAATAAATATTGTAATCCAGGTTTTCCCAATTAGATTTACTCAAGTTTAAAAGCAAGTGAGATATGGACTTATCTTCAGAGCAGAAAAGATGCTTCATGCATGGTTGAATGTTCCGCATTTTGTTAAACAGTTGCCAAGTTACCTACACTCTGGTCTGCGGAGTCGGGTCTAGATTTGATTTATTTGACTTAAATTCATCCACTGTGAAAATGTGGAGTTATGTGAACAGCTTATCGCCATTTTTCACAGGTTCTGGTTACGACGGGCGTTGACCATGGCCCCTTTATAACGGAAATGGATCCGAATCATTGTTTAATTGCATGTTGCTCTGAGGTGTTTTCTAACAAACATCGATGTGTTGGATTGCACCCTCGGGGTCTAATGTGCAGGAATGTGCTTCCGCTCACATACAGCCTTGCTTTAGCATGTGCATCCCGTTTATTCAGGAACAATACAAGCGAAACGCATACCCTCTTCTACAGCCCTAAAGAGGACCTGGAAATCAGCCACAAAAAACGGAAGCTTCCTACACTTCCTGTCCAGAGAGGTCCAACTTAAAAATTGCAACATCCTAATAAGACATATGGGCTTCCATGGGCTCTAGTGCTCTCAGTTTGAGGTGTGGTGTGTTTACCTGGAAACGATACAGGGACGCATCTGGTTTGATCACTAAACGTTTGTGGTCTTGTAGAGGATAGATGTATCCCAAAGCCACGAGCAAAGATCCAAAACTTCTGGCCTCTGAGGACAGCCCAGAGAGTTATTAACAGATCATTTATTCAATCTATATTTAGGTTTTTCAACAAAACCTGCAAACTCGCATCAGTTTGCATGGCATCAACAGCCTCATCTCACCTTGTGTATCTATTTGAAATCTGTCTGATATCCAGGTAATTATGTCTTCACCTGAGGAAAAAGACAAAAAGGAACACCCATTAAATAAGACTAAATGTGAAATAGTGTGGGCTAAATGTGTGAGGTAGTGTGTCCCTGAAAATGCAAGAAAGCTAATGTGAAGAGGGAGGCTGAAAGAGGGGAGAGGGAAGACAAGGGCTTGCTGAAGGTAAGGAGAGGGATGAAGTGGAACAAGAAAAAGAAGGGATAGCTAAACAGCTGTGGAAAATCTTGAAGGAGAAAATGAGAAGAGACATAGAGGAGGAAAGGAAAAGAAAAAGAGAAGTAGAAGCAAAGAATGAATATCAAGGAAACGGAAATTAAAGTATCTGGGTACCAAGTAAGAGATGAAAACACAAAGGGGGTGATGACGGAAGGCACAATTCAAAGGAGAATACTGCAGAGTAACGAATAATGAAGAAAGGAAATGGAGATGAGGAAGAGAAGGGGAAAGGAAATGGAAGCAATAAGGCAAAGAAGAGATAAAAGTAAAGAGGATAGTAGTGAGTAAAGGAAAGAAAAATCAAAGACAAAAAAGAGAAAATTGGCAAGAAAATACAACCAAAAAATTCAGATGAAGGACGATGAAGGGAAGTGAATGAGATTAGAGGCAAAGGGAAGTAAAGAGAAAAGGAGAAGCAAGTATATTTAGTGCCGTTCCTGCAGCTCGTCCAAATTCAAATGACGTAGGAGGGTAGGTTCCCTGTTTTCCTCTTCTTCCTCCTCCACCACCTACTGACTGTGTCCTCTTCTTTTTGTATCAGTCTCTGCTTGTTTCCTCTCGCCCGCTCAATCATCATCCTCCTTCACCTCCTACTTCTTCCCTGTGCCTGAGACTGAGACTGTGGGGGTTGTCATGGAAATGAAATCTGTAGCTCTCCGGATTGAGCCCACAACTCTGGTATCCTCCAGTGAGTATGGAGGCGCGACCGGGGGAGCAGCTGGCGAATAGCAACAGGCGCGCGGACGTACGCGCGCGGCCACGTTTGTGTGTGTGTGCGAGTGTGTCCTCTTTACCGGTGAGAGCGTGCGGTATGGTGGTGATGACCAGTCTCTGAGGCTGGGATTTGACTCCTGTGTTGGGATCCTGCATCTCCAACAGCACCTTCTCCGCCTGACAACAAACAGAAGAATGGCCGAGAAGACATGTGGGACAGAGGTCACCATGAAAACTGTTTGCAGTTGAAGGCTGCATGGGGGAAATGTTGGATTTTTGTACACAAAAGTCACTCCTCACTTATCAGGCGGGATGCTGGTCATGATTATTTTTGTCTCCAGCAACGAGTGATATTTGAAAACTGAGGGGAAAACTAACCCCCAGAGATAGTCAGGCTCCCTGTCATAGCTTTTAAGGAATATCTCAGTTTAGACCAATGTTGCCATGATCTGTTTTTGTGATTAGTCAGTTCTGCCAAAATAGCTATCGTACGCTGTGTTTAGTCCAAAATCCTTAACACTGCATTACAAAATATAGAACGGTTGAGACATCAGACTGGTCTCCTGGCTTTTTAATTTGATATTTTTGGCATGCGTGGGATGTTTGAAATGAGTCACCTCCTATTCAAATGGTATTGGAATAATCAACTTATCTCCCATAGGTCCCACAACTGTTTACAGGAAAGCAAGAAATCCTGTCATGAATGAATTCAGTTTGTGTGAAACTGTGTGCGAGTGTGTGCTGGAGTGACCGAAAGGTGTGTTTGAAGTGGCTTTTGGCTTTGAAGTCATCCTGGAGAGGCTATAAACCCCGGGCTGAGCTGGACCAAAGCAGGCTTTCATGAACCAGAACTCAACGTTCTCCTGGGGGTGACTTTTCTGCTCACTCTCCAGGAAAGTAAATCATTGTGAGAGCTGTATGTGGGAACAGCGCAGTAGTGATGCCAGTAGTTATGTCATTATGACAAATGTCCAGCTATTGAATGAATCCCAAAATGTGAGATGACTGAACAGGTCGTACTCCAGCCGCAGGACTGGGGTATAGTTTTCAATACACTGTGCCTGGATTAACTTCTCTCCAGCAGCTGCCAGGTATAGAAGGGAGCACTTATACTGATCCAGACTTAATGCTTATTAAACTGAATGACCTTATCAATGGGAAAAGGTTGAAACAAAACAGTTTAACGTTACGCCTGCCAATTAAATAAAAAACACTCAGAACCTGAAAGATTTCATCTGATTTGTAGTTTTGTTTACTGTCTATTTTACATGTATCTTTAATTGTTTTTTTCTCTTTTTAAACAATATTCTAATAAGGCTTACCAAGAGAAATTTAAATATAACCATATCACTCAAGATGCGTCTTTTGTCATGGCTTCTCTCAGATATTCAGTGATCAAAATAGCACCTGTAGGGTTTGTGGCAATAAAGAATATCTTTACACGCAAAAAATAAACCATCAGAAAGCCAGAATTCCTCTGAGGATCTGAAAATCTGAATATTTTTTAGGCTAACTTAGTTAATGACAGCAAAGATTCACTTCACATCTTGCGTGTTGGTAGGTCTGCATGTCTACAAAAACAGTCTGTGATGTCTCATGTAAGAGGGCTGCCTACCTTCTTGAGACAAGCCATCCGTGGACGGTACCTCTGTCCATGGTCACGGAGAGCGTTTTTAATGGTCATTTTGTTGATGTCTTTTCCACTCTCACACACATATATAACACTGCTGCCGCCTGTGAGGCTGGTGTCGTGTGGGGATGCTTGAGGGGGGGGGGTATCGAAATAATCGATGCTGGTGCTGCCTTCAAATGTCTTGCCACAGCTTTCGTTGATTGCAACATAAAAGGTGGCTTTTTAACTTGCTCACGTCAATTTTTTGTATCTTTACTCGCATGACATTTAGATACGTTAATAAGAAGCAAATGCAAATAAACAATATAGGTCATTTGGCTAAAACAGACAAAGATTCTTGGTAATAGAAATGTATTTTAAAGTGATTTACACAGCCTAATGAAATCGGTCTAAAAAGGTAACACGGTTAAGCAATAGTTTAAAAATAATATATTGGTTTGCAACCAAGGACCTCCATCCTTTTTTCTTTTATATTGTTATTTCTAGTTGCGTTCAAGTCAAGATCCCCATAAATCCTACGGCCTATGAACGCAGCGTAAGTAAATCAAGAATAGAATCAACCAATCAGAGCGATCCTTTTTGTAACAGCCAAAACGTGTGTTGCAGTTTCCAATCTTTACCACCAGGGAGTGTCATTGTGTCACTCACCAATTCTTAGTTGGCATCTGGATTTCTTTATTGTTCGCTATGAAATTTGTGATATTTTTATTTTCCACTGAATATAGACTTATTTATTATTCTGATGGTAATGAAAAAAATATTGTTTGTAAGTCGTGTAATTAAAACGATACAAAAATACATTAAAATATTTACGTTTTCAACAGTAATATCACAGGGGTAAACTTAGTTTAGTGTGTCAAATGTAGTTGTTTCGAGTCATCCAGCTCTGAACATACACGTAGGGTGCCTGGAGGTTGATGGTAAACAGTGTTACGCAGCGGTACTTCCTGAGTTTAGGGAAGGGGCTTGGTCCCGTGCCCGCGCCCCGAGAACGCGCATCAAATTAGCATCGATGAAGTTTGTGCGAACATGGCGGATTTCCTGCCGACCAGGTCCGTGTTAAAAGTTTGTCTACCCGTTTGCCTGCTTAACAGCGGCGAGGTGGAACAGCTTCGAAAGTCTAAAGAGATCGACAGATGTCTCTCCCGGGAGAAAACGTACGTGAAACGGCTGGTGAAGATCCTGCTGCTGGGCGCTGGCGAGAGCGGCAAGTCGACTTTCCTCAAACAAATGCGGATCATCCACGGCCAGGACTTCGACCAGCAAGCCCGAGTGGAGTTTAGAGCCACGATTTACAGCAACGTTATCAAAGGTAACCTCTTCGCGTTGGGGCTGCAACTGTAAACGAGGGAACGGGCCGTCTTACTTGGACGGAAAAGCCCCAGAAAGGCGTTAAAATGGATGAGAAAGTTCCCCACATCTGTTGGGCTGAAGAGAGGACACATAAACAGTCTACATCTGCCCGAGGCACACCCAAATCAGCCGCGTTTCAGCTTGAACCTATTTTTAAAAGTGTATATTGCTTATTTTATTTTTTTATTCGCCTCAAAGAAATGTGCTAAGGGAAGCGTTGAGGTGTCACCGTGTAGCAGTCAGCACTTACAAATAGCCATTAGCACGTTTTGTTGCTCAATGGTGGGCAACCCACCCGTGAACTAAGCTGTAAGGTGTTCCTGTTTGTCCACCGTCTAAATGACTGTGCTGGCAAGTAGCTCAGAACGTGTGCTCACGTGTATTTTTTTATCTCCTTGGGGGTTAATTAAAGTATTCCCCCCTCTGTGTTATTTTTATGGCTTTTTATAGATTCGGTTTCTACATTTTAGGCGGTTTATGTATGTTTGTACCAGATTCTAATGACTTCTGGTTGCTCGTGGTTGCTTTGAAATACACATTTTGGTTACAAATAGCTTTTTTACGACTCTTCCCAAATGCAGCACATAATCGAGGCCGCTTTTAGGACGTCCGATGAGTTCATGACACCTCCACGGCATCGTAAAATTTCCGACCAAAACGTTCACATGATTTCCATTCATCTTCAAATGAGTCAACGTAATAATCAAAGACTGGAAAATCTGATTTTTGCCTCTTTGCACCTCACGACCCTCACTGGCTGCCTGGAGGAAAAAAATGTACAGTTATTAAAACTGCCCCACCTGCTTCGGCAGGCACTAATATATCAGTATTGATTATCTAAATATGTCACATATGTTTTAGTGTCTGAGTCCAAACAGCCAGGCCAGTGATTACGCTCAAATTCTTTTGGTACATTTTGACACTAGGAGTTGTATACTTTAAGACAACTGGGATACAACCCAATTTTAACTGGTAATTGTGTCTTTTTTTTTGTCCTCCACATTACCATCACATAGTTTTTACGCATTAACTGTTGTGTCCAGATGTAAGGTTTTTTTCCTTGATTTCATCGTTATTTTTCCACATCACTTTTGTCTAGAGGCTTGAAATGACATCGGCGCGTGGTTCAGCTGCTCCTTCAGGCCTTTCTGCCTTTAGCTTTCACTCACATCTGGCCGGTTTTCTCCCCACCGCTTCCTGTCCAGGTATCCGTGTGCTGGTGGACGCCCGGGAGAAGCTGCACATCCAGTGGGGCGACCCCAGCAACCAGCAGCACGGGGAGAGCCTGATGGCCTTCGACACCCGGTCGGCCAAGATAGCCAGCGGACAGCTGGAGACGTCTGTCTTTCTGCGGTACCTGCCCGCCATTAAAGCTCTGTGGGCGGACTCGGGAATACAGAACGCCTACGATCGTCGCAGGGAATTTCAGCTGGTAGGTCCACGAACACACGTGTAGGAAAAAACGCAACTGATAGATGATAATTACCTGTTTTTTCCACCAAGTTTTACTGATAAGAAGCTTTCTCTGAGGTTGCAGTGTTCAGATCGCTATCAATAGAGCTAAGAAGATGTAGACGGGTTGTTTTTTTTTGTACTCATGGAGGGTTTGAAGGCGCTCATAAAATGGCAGAGGCAATAGAAAGTGAAACTGATGTTTTAATTCATCCTTCCTTTCCTAGCTCTGATTTGTGTCTCTGGCGTCTCTTGCATTGAGCTGCCAGACATGTGATTGAGTCAGCTTCCTGTTTACACCTCTCCCTGCTCCTTATATCTCGGCTGTCAGCGTGCATGTTTTAACACTCTGACGTTTCCCACAGAGCAGCAGCTGTGCTCCAGAGTCCGCTCACGTGGCTCAGGGACCTTCCAGGGCCCCTAAAATGTACTTTTACTGACCAATTTCCCCCCTTCGTGTTTGTATTTTTTATTTTTTACCATTGTAGTTATTGGTAAATGTGAGGTCACATGACAAAGGTTTCAGCAGTGGGGGCCCAGCTGAGCAGAGCACCAGGGCCATTTCCTTTAATAAGGCCAAGGCAGAGAGTTTCTCCTGTAAGTGGCCCAAAGCTGGACCGGTCTGGGTGGTATTTTGTCGGCCTCTCGCGCTCAGCCCATTGGCGAGAATTTGCAGACAGAAAAGCGGAATAAGTGTGATCAGAGTTGGAATGTTGATCTGCAGTTAAACAGCTTTATGCTTACAAACAGAGCCCAGGCTCTCCCACTCAGCATTATTTACACACAAACACAAAGGGTGGCACACACATCACGTAACACAAGTACAAGGACACACACCCACTTTCTGCGCACCTTTTTGTTTTAATCAAATGGTCCAACAACCCCCCCTACACACAAACACACATGCACACAAAAAAAAAGTTAAAATCCATTTCTGCATGTTGCATTTTAGAAGCTGGAGGTTTGGCAGCGTTGTTGTGCTGAATCGGTCATCAGGCATACATCTGATGGTCCACAGCAACTCTGTGCCAGAAAACACAAAAACAAACAGGCTCGACAGGCTTTTTTGAGCCAATATTAAACACGAACAATAAACAAAAACAAACATACAGAAACAAACAAACTGTTTGACAAACGCCAGCCGTTCAAAATGGAGGCAAAGTGCCAGACACTGAATATATTCGATATATTTGTGGAGGGTCTTACTCTGGCCCCTGTATGAAGATCGGAGATCTTAATAAGTAAACAAATCAGCAGAAAAAGATAACGGCTCTTAATATTTTAACAGTTCGTCCGTGTCTGCACGCGTCTGGCCAAAATCGCTCAAAACAACTTGAAGCTAATTGCGTTTCTTTGCATATTTTTCGTCGTCTTCCATTTCTTTTCACTTTTAGAGTAGCTAAAGTAGTAGAGTAGCTTTTCGTTCGCTCCATCATTCTTCCTCTTTCACCAACAACAGCACAGAGGCAACCAAGAGCAGCTCGCACCGCTCCACCTGGTCCTGAGACTGCCCCCTAGTGGCAGAAGGAGGAGCAGTCGTTAGTCCCGGCCGTGGAAAGCGTTTCTCTGCCAGCTGATAAAAACCCTTTGTGTTCCGGCCGTGCCCTTTTCATGCATATGCACCCCCCCCCCCCCCCCCCCCACACCGCCCCAGGCGTGCATATAATTGTCCTTGAAAAAATATACGCACTACCTGAAAGGCCTCTGTCGCTTCCTGTAATCTCACCTGAGATTTGTTTCCTGTCTGTTCAGCAGCGGGAGCCACGTCCTCCCACACGCGGAGGTCACATGGGCCGCACGTCGTCTCAGCTCTGTGTCAAACGTCATCCCCGCTCAAACGTTTGGCGTCCACACGTCTGTCGCTCTTCTGGTTTCTCGATCTGGCAGTTTTTTTTTTTTGTTGTTTTTTCTATGATGATTTCAAAACCGGCATCCCCCTCAGAATTCAGATTTCCTTACTCACGCAAAGCCCGGGCTGTGGGCAGAAATGAAACCGGCTTCTCAGAAAGGTGGCTTCTCTTTCTCTGGATTTGGTGCAAGAGCGCACCATCCCGCTCCTCCCTTGTGTAACCTTAGTCGTGCACACACACACACACTCACTCGCAGGTTTTTCAGGTCAGGTTAGTTTTTTAAAAAGATCAAAAGGTGAGAGCAGAAGCTTACAAAATGGGGGGGGGGTGCTGGCATAAGGTGTGAGCACACAGACTTACAGCCTGATCACTGGAACCGGTTTTGTTTGATTAATGAAAAATGCATTCAAAATAATCCAGTCTAATGATGTATGCGTACATGTCAATTTATCTATTTAATTTAATATTTTGGGGGCTGTGTTGAGCAGGACACACACACACACATTCAAAGATAAAGAATGCTTCTCAGGGCTGGCAGCCCCGTGTCTAGACTTGTACTAACTGCACAAAAGCAGTTTTAGAGGAGCCCAAAGAAGAAAAAAAAAAGTCTCTCCCTCACACACACGAGCGCACACACACTCAGACCCCGCCGCACTTCTGCATGTATCAAGCACACACTCGCCAGCACGTGTCGGCTTCAGCGCCAAACGATTTGCTTCCTGCTTCAATTTAGCTCAGAGTTTTGCAAAAACAAACAGATTACCTCCGTGTGTGTGTGTGTGTATGCACCAGCTCAAAAAGGTTTCTCGTGTGGCTCCTCCATTTATCAAGACCTGTGAAAAATGGCCTCCTCTGAAGGCAGCGATGTGTCTTCAAACTGTGTTTGCAATGAGTGTTTCTGACCGTCATAAAAAACGTCGAATTAACAGAAATTCCTCCTCTGTCCTGTCGCAGGGTGAGTCAGTGAAGTATTTCTTGGATAATCTGGATAAGCTCAGCGAGACGGTAAGTTGCTCTGCCTGCGCTTATTGTTTAGAATCAGACTTGAAATGTTATAGTTCATATTGCAACATGTCTGAACAACGGCTCGGCCCGGCGTTCCCAGGACCAGGGGCTGGTGGTTTTTCCACAAAAGGGATTGGCGTGGCGGCCAGGTGAATCAGCCAAAGAAGGACGCTGCCACGGGCTTATTTACTGGTTCCACAAGAAAAAACGAGTTTCAGAAGACATAAAAACACTCATTTAGGTCTCATTTTAAGGGTTTAGGATTGTGAAATAATCCCAACCGGAAATCTATCACACTTATGATTCATTTAGTTTTTCCCAAGATTAAACACATACATTGATTTATTTATTTAGTGATTTATAAACTCTAAAGCAAAGAGCTGAATTAGGTTCTTCAGAAATAAAATGGTGCCACTATAGGTCAGTCCCAGATCTGAATGGCCTCCACACAGTAGTCTCACTCGGCCTGAAACTTTACCGGCTTTTCAATCATTCCTCCTTTTATGAAATGTATAACGCCCAGTTCTGCTGTAAAGGTAGTTATACTTTCATTTTTGTTTAATGTTATTTCCTTCACAGGTGGATTTGGGCAGAACTTCCTGTTTTAGCTTTCAGTGCAATCCAGATCATATGATACAGAAAAATAAACGTCACAAACAAAAGAGCCTCTTTTGGAGAATTTATGGCTGAACAATCATATTGGAAATCATTAAAATGAAAAAGCCTGTTATCTTTAGCTGCCCCAGTTTTCAGCGACTGGCCAGTTACTAAAGGGAACAAGGTCACCAATATGTGAGGCCAAGAGCATGTTGGAGGTTTTGTTTTCCTCTTCTAAAATGAGACGGTTGAGTTTCTACAGAAGCTCCAAGATGCACTTCACTGTGCCGAATGTTCATTTACCTTTAAAGAGAGGTATTTATTCAAAGAAGAGCTCACAAAAAGGCAAGCATATATGCAACCTATTCAAATATTAGAAAACCTGCTTTATTTCAAATAACAGACCTCAAAAGAGTAGGAATTAATAGATTTTATTTGTTTGACATATGGGATTAAACTTTTCTGGCCTTGTTTTTAAATGTACATTTTGGATCTTTCCAGCTGTTTTGTGCACTCAGTAGCCATCACTTTATGAACTGCTCTATGGACAAATCGCATTCTGCTGTTTCTTCCTGCAGGACTACCTTCCCAGCCAACACGACATCCTGCTGGCTCGTAAACCCACCAAGGGCATCCACGAGTATGACTTTGAGATTAAGAACGTTCCCTTCAAGATGGTGGACGTGGGCGGACAGCGGTCAGAGCGGAGGCGCTGGTTCGAGTGCTTCGACTCGGTCACCTCCATCCTCTTCCTCGTCTCCTCCTCCGAATATGACCAGGTGAAGACACGCCCGTCGACACACCTGAGCCCGCACACATCAGCCATTAGGAGGATTTCCCAGTTTTCATGTTTTTTCTCAGCGCTGGCTCTTTTCTGGGCCGTGCGTTACGCTTTGCATCACTTCCACAGCTCATCAGAGGATGACTGTGTCGATGCAAATCTCTCCCAAACCGGCGCGTCCCTCACACAGAGACTCTGTAAAAGGCCAACAATGTTCGCAGCCAGCGGAAACAAAGCCGACATCCCTGACGTTTGCCACATGCTGATTTTATCTGTCAGACCCATCTCTAACCGGTTTTTCCGGTCCTTCTCCGGCACGCTTTCCGTCCACCATAACACTCCGGCTTGTCTATGAACACAAGTCTCCGCCCCCGTCGACCGGTCGCTGAAGTCATCGTCAGACCTTAAAACGCGAGCTGGAATCTGATTTGTAGAGAAATAAGAACACACTGTTATGATGTGGTGGCATACCACTGCTCTCTGATCTCTGCAGCACAAACACAGACCTGCTGTATTATTCACCATTCAGATTAAAAGGAAAGGCCTCCATCCAGGCTCGCAGATGGCCAGTATTGCAGAGCCACGGCTTTTTAGTTGGTTTGCAACTTTTAGGCAGTTTGGCTCTGCAAAGCGTAGCCTGAATTTTGAATTGAACTTTCTAGTCGTGGACAAAGGCAAAATGGAAAGCAAGCAGCGCTGCATTTCCTCCCCCAGCAATGTCCCTGTGACGTCCCCCGATGCACACAGGCCGCCCCTCTCACAGAGGGGCCGGCGGTCCAGCTGTGCAGATGTTTGGCTCAGCTCGAGTCGGCTGGACGGTCACATTTTTGTTTAGTCAAGAAAAAAAAAAGATGGCGAAAGCAGACAAAAAAAAAAAAAATACACTGGAAAATAGATAACAAATTTACCACATGGTGCACCAATAAACGATTGTTACCCCCTCACAAATTGATTAGTTAGTGGATTGAAATTGATATCCATTAATTGATTTCAGAGGTGAAGATCTGGTTTTAACTTTTTAACTTCTGAGATAAAAAGGCCTGTGAGCGGCAGGCGGCTGCCCGCTCTGTCTGGTCCCGTCCTGACCCCGCACAGGGACGGCGGGGGGTCATCGTTCATTCACCTCCCAACGTCTGTTTTCCAGGTGCTGATGGAGGACCGGACGACCAACCGGCTTCGCGAATCCCTCAACATCTTCGAGACCATCGTCAACAACCGCGTCTTTGTCAACGTCTCCATCATCCTCTTCCTCAACAAGATGGACCTGCTGGAGGAGAAGGTGAAGAGCGTGCCGCTCAAGGACTACTTCCCCGACTACACCGGGCCCGAGCACAGCCTGCCGGACGTCAAGGCCTTCATGGTGGATTGCTTCCGGGCCAAGAGGCGCGACAGCACGCAGAAGCCCCTCTACCACCACTTCACCACGGCCATCAACACCGAGAACATCCGGCTGGTGTTCCGCGACGTCAAGGACACCATCCTGCACGACAACCTCAAGCAGCTCATGCTCCAATGACCCCCCCCCCCCCCCCCCCCCCCCCCGGCAGCCTGTGGAAGTAGAGGACCTGAATGGGGACAAACCACCCCCTTGCGCCCGAAGAGGACTTGGGAGAGACCAGCCTCTGAAGAATCAGATAGACATCAGCCTTTCTTCAGGCATTTTTATGTTAGTTTTTACCCTCCTCCTTCAAGAGTTGGCCCTCTTTGTTAGTCCGGGATCTGATTGGGGGAACGAGTCGCTGCGCGGACTGCGGGTAGTATAGAAAGACGAGAATCTGGTTTGGATGTAGGATAACATCTGACCCCTGCCGCTCGGTGCTCTGTCCCGAGCTTTGCCTCGCAGGGTGCCGGTGCTGGTGGAAGTGAGCGGGGCGTCCAGACCAGGCGACTCGCAACAGTCCCAGGAACCGAGTCCTGCTTACATGACGCGTAAAGAGGTTTTGAACTAAGTCGTTTGGCCAGTTCGTGCGCGAGCACCTAATTCAAGCATTCCAAATTCCCTCCATTACTCCCGCGCTGCTCCGACCCGGCCGTAGTCTCCACAGGACGCTTCATGAGGTTTCTGTTGTTCTAGACGCAGCGCCTTGCACAGCTGTCGCTCACCACTTAGTCTCGGTTCAACGTAAGCTCCCAGGGTCCAGCACAAAGCGCCGCATTTTGCCCAGACAGGGTCGAGCTGCCGGGCCCTCTGACCGGCGGTGAGAGTCAGTAACGAGCTCCAGCACCGGCACCTCGTTGGTGGAAACTGCTAGAAGAGGGCACAACCACGAGACTGAACCTTTCTGTGTCATTTCTAAAGCAGTAATCACTGTTTAAACATTACTTCAGACGTACAGCCAATCTTGGCCTCTTTGTTAAGATGATTAAGATGCGAGTTTCCATATTTGTTGTCCTTAATTTTGGTAGTTGAGAGGACAAAAGGATTTTGTGTTGCGGCGCATTCGCCACACGTTGCCAGTAAGTGAGCATGCAGTCCACTATTTTCTCAGGGTTGAATCAAAACAGGTTCTGAATCTTCTGTTGCTGTCAGTGAGCTAAACGAGAGATCAAATAGAGGTGGCAGTGGTCTGACCCGGTCAGGACCCGTCAGCGTGACCTGCGAGGCATTCAGTACTGCGTCCCGCCCCCCCGACGCTGACCCAGAGCCCCCCTCTGTCTGTCTGATCTCATCTCTGATTAGATGCCTTGTAAAGGGACGAGCCTCCCGTCTTCGCCTGAATCGTGAATGTTTGTTAATAATTGTACAGAGATTTGCTCTTGATTGTTTGAAAATACTGTAACCACACCGTTTTGGTCACTTATAACCCATCATGTGAGAATATCTGTGTTGGCACTGAATTGTGACTCCAACCATGTTTGAGAAAGCATCGAACATTTCCTCTTTGTTTTTTTTTTGTTTTTTTGTTTTATTTTTACACACAATCCTGTACTGTTTTGGATTTCCCTCTAAAAATGCATTGTGATTTTTGTAGAAGAAATGTGACAAAAACAGCTACTGGAGTTCCAAACTTTTGTCGTGACTGTACTCTGTAGAGGGCCAATCTTTGTTAGAGGACCATTTCCAGGCACTGTTAAAATCTCTGCTTCTCTGCCAAATCATCCTGTGCTTTCTTAGGACTGTTAACATCAACAGTGCTTTTTTTTTTTTTTCCTCCAAAAACGAAGCTCTTGAGAGCCTCAGTTTGCCTTCAGTCCTGGCTGTAAATACTGTAATCTGTTGCCATGTAAATAATATTCAGGTTTATCTCCTTATATGTAAATGGTTGTAGAAATGGCCTCTTCTTTCCATTCTGGATGTTTGTTTTTTTTCCTGATTACTGCTTCTCCAATGAAGATCCCCTTTTGATGTAGATGGTATTTTGTGTAATTACTTCACCACTTTTTGAAATTAATTCTCATGCCACTCTAACCCTCAATAAAGTACAATTTTCTAATGAGATAAAGCCTCTCTTTATTGTATTTATGAAAACAATAAAAAATCAATCAATGATATGATAAAGGCAAAAAGTCACAGGGTGGTTTTAAGATGGACTCCAAAAAACATCCTCACATTTCTGTGCCCATGGACCACTTGTTCCATCTTCTGATCGAGGTGATTCTTATCTGTTTGTCAGACATTCTGTAACCAGCTGATAGTCCATTTATGTGCTATTATTCTGGCAAATACATTTCTTCTACTTGTCTTTTATTGTCACTTGACCAGCAATCTTGATGCAGAATGAGATCCTTGCCTGCTAACCCTGACAAGCTACATCTAGAAGATCTATAACCAAGGGATTTGAAAGGTTTCAATGTGAATACGTGACAGCTTCAGACATAAAAAAATACGTTCACCGCAACAGCAAATAAATTGACATCACTGAAAATATGTTGTGGGTTTTTTCTCCTGATGTCATTAGCCTCAAGTGTGTCGTGTTGGTAAATTTGGGGATTTACGCAAATGCGGAAGAATTGGGGGGTGAATCACCTCATTAGCTCCGCGGTGAGCGGACCACACCCACTTATCACAAACCTACATGTTCCCACAGAGTTTCAACTGGCAGGCCCCCTGGCTACAACCAACTTATCCTAAATTATCCGTAAATCCAAACATTAATCATTTAAACCAAGGGACTTCACAGCAAATCTAATTTTACGGTGCATTCTCTGATTTGCACTCAGGCTTCTCACGCGCCACCCATGAGGGGTCTTTGTAATCTCAGGGCAACAGTTAACGACCCCAACATGCAAACTTACCTAACGACCAGTTTTTAAAAGTGACACCGAGGTTATCTCAATGTGATAATTATTGTAAAGTTAAAAGTGCTGAAAATGTGAAGCTCTAACTTTATTGACGTGCTCGCGCCACGGGGGCTGCTCGACACGTGCAGAATGAGCTCCGGTAAGTGACACAATCCCATCGAAACGGAGAGAAGGTGAAGGAAACACGTGACCCTATATAGTTTATTCCTTTTGGTTCCTCTTTTGATTCGGTTTATTAGAAAAGGGTTTCTTTTTTTAATCTATAGAAACACGTAGCCTACGAATAACAACTAAGTCAGTCAATAGAGTAAACAAAATAAAGCACAATAGTTTGATACTAGTGTACAGTGTGACTGTGTGTTGGTGGGATTTATTAATTTTCATTTAAGCAAATAACTAAATAATTGTGCTTGCTAACCACACCTGAATGAAATGTCGTTATTTCCGTTCTGAACTTGTTTTACTCAAATAAGAGCATTACTCATGTCATGCTTCTCCACAGAGGTGTGCCCATTCTGTGGGAAAACATACAAAAGGTTGAAGAGCCACCTGCCACACTGCAAAGCAGTAAAAAGCTCCAAAACTGCTCCAACTGCCCAAAGCGACACACCCAATCAGTCAGCGCCTTCTCACCAGGCTGCAGCGCTGCCCCCGACTACAGCAAAGGGAAAGAAGTCCACGCCGAAGTCATCAGTGAAGGCAGATCTCTATGAAGAGGAGGGTAAAAATGTAACGCCACAGCCATCAACACCACCACAACCAGCATCTTCTATACTTCCATCATCGACTAAGACCAAGAAGAAGAAGTTGTCCGATCAAATCAGGACTGCCATTCTTTCCTCTGATCCATCTCCCCTTCTGCCCCCCACCATCTCTAAACCAAAAAAGAAGAGTGGCAAAACTCTTATTGAGGCTGAAAAGTTTGACAAAAATTCAGAAGGACCTCACAAAATTACTTTAAAAGGTTCAAGTCCGAGCTTTAAATCCACTGAACAGACAGAGACCGAAGCCAATGGAAATAAGGCCTCAGTGAAAGACAGCAGTCTCAGCCGCCTGTCTGTGAGCACCAAACCCAAAAAGAAGGTGTCAAATACAAAGGATCTTCTCTCCGCAGCCAAACAAATGTCAGATTTTCAGAGCTCTAAAAGACCTCATGCAAGAGACAACTTCTGGGTGGAGAGTGCGGAGGAGCCTGAGGATGTTTCGGTGGATAGCTTGTTCCTGAAATCGGAAAATGGTCCCCAAGGAAAGGTCACCATCCAGGATGTTAAAGCTACATTAGGCCGTAAGTCCAGCAGGCCGAGCATTTTAAGCCAGATCGGAGCTGCCGACAGCAGGAGCGACAAAATCAGGCTGGAAGATCTCAGTCCAGGCCTCCCTCCAGCCGAGAACCAAAAAGACGCGATTGGCCATACTGCAACGCCAATAGTTGCGTCGGACAAGCTGGTCAGCACCAGCCTGCGATCCTCAGAACTGAAGCCGGTCCAGGAAAAGTGCCGGCCACCAGCTGTGATCTGTCCAGCAGCTCCACTCTTCTCTGTAAACGCACGTTCTGGGGTGCAGCAAGCTGCGCCCGCCCCGCCCGCAGTCGCTTTGGGTAAAGGGTCAGAGGTGGATCGTCCTGTGCCTCCTGGGCTCCTCTCCATGTCGCCGACCCTCCCCCAGCCCTCCGGGCCCCTTCCCTCCCCTCGTGCAACGCAAACCCTGCCCGGGAGGACAGAGGCCGGGCGGCTGGACATCAGGAAGCAGAAAGCGGCCGTAACGCCAACTGAAGGTCAGTGTTGCCATAAGCTGCCGCACTTGAGCCTCCCAAAGTTTTTCAGCCCACAGGAGGATCTGATATTAGGCTGCAGCAGCCGGTCGCCGTCAACATTTGGCTTTATTTCCAGGCGACCAATCAAAGAAGTCCATTTTTCGACCATCTGGAATGTGAGAAATTTCTATATTGTAAATTCTGGTATGCAGATGTTTTGGAGTTTAGGTCTCAGAGTAATAATTGTTAATTCCAGGTGTCATTTTGCTTGATATTTTTCCAAATTTCCTTCATACACACAATTTTTTTTTAATCAATGAAACAAGTCTCACCTGGTTGGGTTCCTTTTTCCGGCCACGTCCCGCCTCACTGTGTTAGAAGAGCTTGTGTTTTGAGTGTTTTCCATCAGTAGGACATGTGGGTGTTTTACACAGGTGTGCCGGCGCCGCGTGGACTGGGACAGGTGAGACTGCGGGAGTTACCCGAATGGCTGGCCAGTAGAACCCCCACTCATCCGAGAGATGTGGTGGACGTAGTGCAGAGAGGTCAGTATCACACAGCTGGCACAAACGCATGAGGAATGTTTTCAGCCTGAAACCAGCTTTAGTATCATATTAAAGCACCAGTGGGCTTAAAAGTGAAGTTAAATATACAGTTTTCTAGTCAGTTTTTTACTCCCTGTGTTACCTCTTTGCAGTGAAAAATCTTTGACATTTGAGGATGGAGTTTTGCATACAGCCAGAAAAACAGCTATTTTAAGATGGCCCTTTGTTGTAGGACTTGTGAGCTTCTCTTGTGAGACACAATGCTTTCTCACTGCTTTGATGATAAAAATTCCTGTGCTTGTTTTTCTGCGTGCCGTTCTTCCCTCAGGGTGGCAGTGGTACTACAGACGGTACATTGATGTGAAGAAGGGTGGTGTAGCTGGACTGGGCATGTTGCTGGCAGGATACTGTGTGCTGAGCTACACCTGGAGTTACCCTCATATAAGTAAGCGGAAGCGTCTCTGTCATCATTATGTGCGGTGGGCAGAGTTTGGGTATACGAAAACATGTCTTTGTTTTGTTTTTTTTCTCCAGAACTCAGTCGTTGGAGGAAGTATCACTGAAGTCGTACAAGGCTTTAGGACAAAGGGGACAATGAGAGGGCAGACCAGGAACCACATCTGACAAACCCTGATCAGGACTTGCACTGCATTCATGTTTAAGAACCTATTTATGCTTTTCTCCCTCGAGGGAGACAGACTTTGCAAAGTTTATTGGCTGCTACCTCATTACCCAACCGATGCAGTGGTTTCATTTTTTTTTATCTAACTGTAGATCAGGATCTGACAGCATGAGGAAATAATCCCAAAAGGGACTCCGTTTTAGCTCCAAATGGCAGTTAAAAGCATTTAATCACACGAGTCACTACAGAACCCCTACAATGGGTTTGAGTGGATTTTTGCTCCTACAATCAGGGTCAGTTTTCCCTGAGGGTCCCAGGAGCTCCACTAGGTGTCATTGTCGGGTTATGTTGCAGAAGTCAAAAGGACAGCCGGGTCCGTCTCCTGTGCAGTTTACTTAGCGCCTTTGTGCAAAGGCACTGATTCTGGGGGGCATGAAAGGAACCCAACAGATTTTTGGAAACTAAAAAATGTGACTTTGGCAGTCCTGATGGAGAGGAACATAAATTTCTGACGTCCTGACACCAGCATCCCTGAAAAGAATGTTCCTTTGAAGGGAAGGGGTTACAAATCTGTTTTTCTTTTGCAAACGTTTCCTGTGTCACATGATGCGATTATGCATGCTTAGTCCATCAGAGCCAGAGTGTGAACTCTCACAGAATAGCAATGAAGGGAAACTGAAGGAGGTTCTCAGCCAGACTGGACCTGTTTTGTATTCAAAATGAATTTATTGTTGACTCTCCTCGCTGCTGTAGTGAACACACATTAGCTACAAATGAAGAAATAACAGCATTTTTGTAACTACTTTTCCAACATCGCCTCTCAGCCAACATAATAAAAAATAATTTCCATTTTTCCATGTTTTTTTTAAACAATCTTATTTCAATACAAAAATTATAAATATTTTGTGTCTGACATTTTTCTTTTTTTTCTTTTTCTTTTTTTTTTATACAAAAAAAGCAAACTATACAAATCAAGTGAGACAAACCAACAGTGAAAATGAGTGCAGAAAAACCAAATATCTGCCGTACGGATGGGAGAGAAAGCACGGTTCTGTTCCCACCGGGCCGGGGACACTGCGACATGCATCCAGACAACGTTGTACCAGCGTGTCCTGCTGTAAGCATAAAACCGATCTCCTGTGGATGTAAGTGCTATAGAGGCACGAAATCTTGCAGCAGTCACTTGAAGGTGCAAATGCAGAATCTCACCAGATACTCAATTTTCCTTCTTTTTTTTTCTTTCCAAGCAGAGATGCTGATTTTCTCACTCTAGAAGAGGGATACGAGGGTTGAGGCAGAGATACAGGAAGGCTGTGATGGCCACTGGCACTCCAAAGAAAAAAAAGAAAAGAAAAATAGTCTATATCCTCACTTAAGGGGGCCTTTAGTTCACTTCGTTAGGCTACAGTGAGCAGATTTAACAGGAGACATGTGTCACAGTCCAGAATCAACCCACAGTGTGCTGGACATGTTTAACCAAACCTTTGGTCCTGTGTCGCATTCACAAGAACACACAATTTCCTACTTCCTTTTGAACCATAGAGTAGATTTCAGTCATCAAAGTGGATAATTACAAAAACAGAAACCTGTAGGTTAGGTTTACTGCTTTATCATAATGAATTAGAGGGGGCTTTACACACAAAAAAAGGAAACGCAACCAGAACTTCTCCTGAGTCATTCTGGCTTCAAAGGAAACACACCGTTCTGAAAAGCCACAGAGCTGTCGTTTTAAAAACGAAAGGAAAAGAAAATTCTGTGGGGGATTCTCGACGAGACCACTGTCTCATCTGTTATTTTGGTTGCGCTGCTGAGATGAAAAAAACAGGAAATGTGTGAGAAACTCGAGCGGAAAGTCGTAAGGAAAACAAGGAAACTAGAAAACACCTGGGAACAAAGTGAAAATTATGGCAAACTATACGAAAACAGTCAGAAACTGTTGCGTGTGTGGGAACAGAAAAAAAACACGCAGGCTCACTGACAGACGCGTCAAGGCCAAGAAAGATATGATCAATACAGAAATGTATGCAGAGGGCAGACAAACATGCATACAATCAGTAACCCCCCAGGGTCATTTAAGCTGAAGAAGGTACTGTCGTGTTCACAACGCTGGGAAACATCAAACAAAAACAGTCCTCTTTTCATGTCATTTCTAAAAATGAGCAAATTAAAATCTAAATAAAAAAGATTAAATCTGTTCTCCTCCTCAATCTGAGGATTTATCTCCACGGACACAAACTCACTGTGATATGATTAAAACAAAAGTGGCAGAGCCAAAGGTTTGTCCTGGGTCTGTGTCGGGACGCGCGTACCTTTAAGGTACAAAAGAAAAAACGCCAAAGAAAAATGTGACTTAAGCACAACAAAGAAAAAGCACTGCTGGGTACAGTAACACTACATGGCTGATCTGACTGGTCTCTTCTAGCGTGATCAAGAGGTCGTCCTTTGTTACAGGCAGCTGAAAGCAGGCAAATGGATTTTGGTTTGGCTCCAGATGTTCACATTTAGTTCGGCCCCACACGCTGCGGTGCACGGAGGGCTGGTTGTACGTGTGTCGTTCCTGAAGCAACAGCATGTTTAGTGCAAAAATATCGTTGTGAACTGTCTTTACTGAGCTCAGGTTTGCGATGCCGGAGGGAGACGGGCGGGTGGAGATTTCTGAATAGAGCTTCTTTGTGTAAACACTTCCATGTAAAAACCTTGTTTTAGGCACAGAGTCGCCGCTTCGCCCCGCCCCCTCGTCCCCGTAGGAAAACTCAACTGGCACAAGTTGTCAGGTGGGTGTGAAGAGAGGAGCACTCACTCGGTCGGAGCTGCAACAGGTTTTTCGAGTTGCGAACCTTTCCGCTTAAGAATGACGCCAAAATAAAGCAAAACAAGTGTCAAATGTGTAAATCCTCCGCATTGCACACTTTCCCGGATCTTCACAGGTAAATGCCTGTGCTCGTCACCGACTGACATGATGCCCCACAAACCATTCAGACTACACACATGCTACATGGCTGCATATCACAAAAGTGACCTGAAAGATGATGAGTAAACCTCGGTTCGCACGGGGATTTGACGAAAAACAAAAAGCTAAGAGCCACAAAAGAAGCACAACTTTCAACACGTGGTGGGTGGGCCTTAACATTCCAGGATGCTGTTGACAGCCGCCTCTAGCGCAGAGTCTGTGTCTGGGTGGGGGGATGAAGTGAGCGGGGGCGAGTACGGAGGCGGCTTGGGGAACCGAGGCTGTCCCCCCGACGCTGCGAAATGGGAGGGTTTACCTTGGGAGTAACTTTTCGCAGCAATGAGGCTGTTTCTCTCAGCGTTGTTGGATTTCGTCTGCTCCAACACCCTCTTGTTCTCTGAGTCTGGAGGGGGAGACCGCTCTGTTGGGCCTCGCCCCACACCACCGCCACCTCCTGGGTCTTCATACTCAGGGCGGGACTCTGTCCTGTACGGGGGCTCCGCGGAGCCTTGTTCCGGCTCATCCCAGTGGCAGCCTGTTGTCGGCTGGGAGGGGACGGGGTCCTGGAAAAGTTTGGATTTCATCCCACAACAGAAGTCTTCCAAAAAGCTGTCTGTAAACCGGAGGAGAGAGAGAGGGAGTTAGACGAAGGATAAAAATACATATTCCCCCAAAAAAGGCTTCACTCCTGTTTTTTTAGCTTGTACCTGGGTCCACAAGTACCATGCGCTTGTCTTGGGTCAGGTTGCTGCGCTCCTCCTGATTGAAGGTCCTGTCGATCATCACCATTTCTGAGGATGGACTTGGACGCTGCAGGGAAAGGAGCGGAAACTTATGGGACACCTCCTGGATGCAGCTATTCCTTACATCTGTCACCGAGAGGCTCTTTTTGTTTCCTGTTTAATACTTCAGTGGTGAACAACCTCCTCTAGTTTGGATTTTTAATGGAAACCTTTACGGTTCAGTAAAAAACAGCGTTGGACCTTTTATCTAACATTTTTTTACTCAAAGTTGTGAAAGCTACAAATTGTAAAGGCAGAAGACTGCCCTGAAATAACTTTAAAACTTGCAAGAAAGAATCTGGAAAATGCTCTAACGATTATCCAGTAGTTTAGAAAACCCCTCATCCACAAAGACTATGTGTTGTTCAGCTTTTCCCCATGTCTACAAGAGCCTATCTGGTTCATCTGTGTCCCTTTGTGTGCAGTCCTGCTTACTTCAGCTTCCACCATCAGTAGTCGTCTGTATTTGTTAACCATGGACTGGGTCCTGTTCAGCACCTGAGTTGCCACCTCCTCAAATTCCGCATCGACTGGAAATTATTAAACATAAAACATTGTTTAGATTTAGATTTCTGCCTCTCATATTTTGCTGTCAAGTGAACCGTTTTAAGGTGGCACCTTGTGAGAACTCGTCCTGGCTGGGGGGAGCCCCGTGGACCACGTGGTACGGGAGGAGTCTGAGCAGCGTGTCGTCGATTGAGGTGAACCTCCGTCGATCGGGGGTCTGAACGGCAGCATGATCCATCCTTAACTGCTGTAAAATCCTTTTGAATTAACAGGAAAAGGAGACAAATTGTCAGTGGGATAGGCTGTCAATGACAATACTGAAGGGCAACAACTGTTTTGATTGTAAAACCCATAATCAGTACACAGGATGGGGGGGACTTACATTTCTCCTTTTGTTAGTGGTGGGAGGATGGGCCTCTTTTGTGCACTGATCTATAAAGAGAAAGTATAAAAAATCAATGGCTTATTTCCCATTTGTTTGCTCCACCTTAAGATTCTGAGAGGTATGCAGACTGGCTTCTGAACTTACCTCGCAGGTTAGAGTTGGATCGTGTGTCATGGCTAAAAGAAGTCACACAAACACAACAGTTAGGACAGAGGCACATGAGATATACATGAAACACAAATAAAATCACCAACGTCGCAGCTTTGGTTACCGTGGATGCTGCTGAGTTTCGCCTGCTTAAAAGCAGGTGATGAGGAATTCTGAAAAAATAAACACAGTGTTGGTCAGACAGGAGTTTACAGGCCGGGACGGAAATGGCCGAAGCGAGGCTCTACCTGTCGGAAGTCTTGTTCCTGCGTCGCGGTCCCAGGTAAAGGAGACAGAGAGGTGCAGTTCTGACTTTGAGTCACTAGAAGGCGCTGCACGGCACAGGCTGGTGCCTGGCCTTGGTTCCCGACTCCCGCTGTTGCTGGGCCGACCAGGGTCAGCCGCCCGGGACCGCTGGTGGTCTGCACAGGGGCGGAGTTGGTGCTGGAGACTCCGCTCCACGTCTGAGTTCCAGTCGCTCCCACCGGACTCCCGCTCACCACTCCCTGATTCAAAATGAGCTGACCTCCCGGTGCTGCCGTGAAGTTGTGCCCCGCGACGATCTGCACTGTGTTTTGACTGCTAATCAGGGAACTGGAACTGGGGATGGCGGGGCCATTTTGGATGCTGCTGGACGGAGTGAGCGCCAGAGAGCTGGGCAACAGGAACTGTCCCGGTTGCTGCGCTTGCTGCTGCTCCATTGGCGTCTGCACCGCTATGGAGCCATTGGCGGCATACTGCCCCCCGGGAGCCGCGGCATTAGTGTTGACAAGATTAGGAGAGGTGGTGGCAGTGGACTGAAGGCCGAGGCTGTAGACAGTCTGAACGCCGGCCTGCGGAGGCTTAGGCTGGATAGGCCTCACAAGGGTCTGGGTTCCTCCTGGGCCTCTCTGGATGATGATGTTTTGGAGGGGGATATTTTTGAAAGGTAACCCAACTTGGCCTAGCTGCCCCTGGGTAGGGGCGAACACCTGCCCTCCTGTGGAGGGCCCTGCTGGAGCTACGGGCACCCCCGGCCTTAAGACAATCTGGGGAGTTCTTTCCAGGCCGCTCAAAGTCATCACACCGCTGCCAGCTCCAAACGAGCCCAACACCTGGATGTGCGGGGCGGAGCCATTGGGCAGCGAGGACACGCCTTGTAGTAACTGGCCCGTTTGGAACGTGGTCGTCGTCGTGGTTACCACGCCCACCCCTCCTCCATAACCCCCGGACGCCAGCTGGGAGGAATAGGGAACGGGAGCCTGCACAAGAGTGGGGGCGGGCTGGGAGTCCAGCAAGGCCTCCTGGGCCAGAGTCTGCTCTGTGATGTCGGCCTCCAGGAGAGACTTCTGGAGGATGTCAAAGGGCTGCTCCTCCCCTCCAAGATCCACGCCTTCGGGGGAGCTCGAGGTCCCCAGTTCGTCCTCGATGAAGGAGAGGCTGCTGGACAGCTGGAGGCCTGCCCCGGCCGAGTCCTCACCAAACTCTCCCATTGAGGAAGAACCATCCTTGAGACCCGTGTTGGAACTAGCCTTGAGAACACAGGGGGAAAAGTGCACTGTTAAAATAGGTGAACATTTCTATGCAACATCTTTGCTCAACCTTTACACGGAATAACTTTATAATTCATGTAGTACACAAAGGTCACCCGGTCACACTTCTTTATGTGTTGTTGAGAAAAAAGAAAATCATGGATACACTCACTGTGTCGTTAGCAAAGAAGGATCCATCTGACCCATAAGCTGCATTTGTCACATCATCCTCTTCAATCTGCGGTTTAAGAAGACAGTCGCAATTCAATACTATAACCAACATGGATTACATGTTTCAGGAATATGATAAGTCAAACGGAATGGTTAAAAACATGATTTAAGTCACTCACAGACTTGCTGTTGTTACCATGGAGATAGTCATTCAGTGCATCCACATCTCTGAAAAGCATATAGAAGAGTTTCACCGATTGATAACAAAGCTAACACATGTGTAATCAATTGTACTACATCACAGTGATGCTTTACATTTGCTTAACTCATCTACAGAAGTGATTTTCAGCCAAAATAAAATGTCTTCCAATCTACCGTTATATTACTAGGTTTCCTTTTGGAAAGCAACCACTCCGCTCTTAGCTCTTTCCTTGGTAAGATGTAAATTCAATTTCTTGTGCCCGGATTCTTAACACTGTGCCTTTCAGAAATGTAAACTCAACGTTTTCTTTTTTATTTACCCTAAAATATCCAGAAGACGGCGATCGTCTTCATCATCCATGACACCTGAAAGAGTACGGAGGGATAGCAAGTGAGGTCATGGGAGAAGTGTCACTTTTAATGCTACAGTTTCAAGATGCTTATCTCTTATTTTAATGGTATACTATGAATGTATTGATCACTTTTTTTTTTACTGACACTGGAGAGTTTGAGCTGTGTATTTTCATGATTCATAAAGGATATTGTAACTCACAGGTTTCCAGCAGGAAGCATGGATTCAGTCATTTAACACCCTTTCTCTCCAGTAACAGGCTGGGCTGCAGAGTGAGAAACTGAATTTAGTTGGGGTTTTTTAAACACTCATATTTGAGAATTTGAATCTGATAAATCTAAGACAGAAAGGGGAGCGCATGTAACAGAGATGTGGTATGTAAACCTTGTTTTTCAGTACTCAAGTGAAGGACAGGATGGCCTTTGCACCCTCCTACAAATGCCTGTCTGACACTAAAATTCCCTCCCATTACCCTCCTCTGCTGTCCCACATTGGTTGTCGTTCATGTGTGTAAAGTGAAAATGGCTATTTGAGTGTAAATAACTCCACCCTGCCCCATTTATACAGTGTATGGTTATTTAGCTTCATTTCCACATTGGAAGGCTTTATGTTGTGTTAGCCAGCAAAATGAAGCTATACTGGTGCAACTTAAGGGGAGTAGAAACACACTAAAGGGCACTTATGTGATGCAGCACAATAATGACCTGTAAGTGTTTAAATGTCTACTAATTTATTGTTTTTCCAACTATTTGGAATTTTATAATAAAATAAAATCTAGTCACTAAGTCTGCCTCCCAACCGAAATGTATTTCAGTTCAAATATTATATTTTCTTTACAAGGCTACAGCGTAATTGTGTATGTTTTGTGATCTTGTGGGTTTGTTAAAACATCTGCAGCACAACAAAATGGCTGTTACCATGCCATGGGATGTCTTTGTAGCTGAACCACGTTCAGCCTCCATCTTTGATTTTGTGAGAACAAAGACCGGCTGGGCAGCTTAAATGCACGCAGGAGTTATCTAACTGCACCATTCAGAGCTTAATTTAGCCCCCAAAAAATTAGTTTAAATATTTTTTAAACCAAAGGTCCAGTCGACAGTGCGAAGGCTGCGTGGCTCATTTGTACGTTTCTGTTCAGCTGTTTAAAAAGGGAAAACCAGCGACAAGCACCAGCGCGTTTTATTTCACAAAGAGCTCAATATCAGGGCAGTTTAACGCCTAAACTAAAATATATATGACTTGTCCACGGTCGTTGTTCGGTTTTTAAAAAAATAATTACAAATAGGCGACCCTCATTTCCGCAATCAGCTGACAAACGTTTACAACATCTTGCTCATTTTTCGAGAGAAGTTAGGTTAGCTAAAAAAGAAAAAACGGACCGAGTCCACTATGAGCCCCCAAAAACGGTCAACACTCATTAAAAATGCATTATTTTTTTCTTTTTGATCCCTATCTGTGCTTTAAAAGCAGAATTATCATAGCGTAGTCGTGTTTTTCGAAGCGACTTCACATTTTTGCGTAATTATTGGTGGAAAGTGACAGTCCGAAATGCGCATTAGCATGGACCCTGCGACGCAAACAAGACTGCTCACGCTCGGTTTTGCTCTGGTATTCCACAACCGGGTCAAACAGACGGCTACTGTACAGCTTGCAAGTTAATTTTCCAAAAATAGATCGAATCGACAGAATGATAATCGCATTCAAGCTGCACAAAACGCCCGTCGTCGCTGACGTGCTCGTTCTTTCTCCGTTGGGGAGGCTTTCATTTGTCCTCGACGTGGCTCATCTGCCAACACGAAAAACGTCACATTTGTATCGACATGTCGGACCAAAAGGATTCCTCGTGGGTTAGAACCAGCCCGTGTCCCGGCCGGGCTGCTTCATAGGGTGGACGCCGGATTTTAGCTCTTAACGCCGGCCTGTCCCGGTGTTCGGTTAGCTAGCCGCAATGTCGACGACGCCTAGTTTGAAAACGTCGGCTGGAATTGATCGAAAAGGCTAAAGGACTGAACCGCGTGGAACCATAAATATTTATCCCGATTAGCATAACATAAAGACGACTCTTAACAGGCAAACCCTTTACTCCTGTCCCACTCCTCTTGAAACCTAATATCTCCATTTGGCAACTTTTAATTTGCTCCCCCCTCCTTCTCCTCCTCCTCCTTCTCCCTCTCCCACTCATATATTTTTCTCACTGTCCCTGTTCTGTCTCGGATAGATTTTTCTCTCCGCTCAAACTCTCTTCCCTCCCTGAAGGAAGGGAGGAAGGAGCTTGTGTGTGTTTTTTCCTTGAAATTTTTATCACAAAATTATAATACACTCAAAGGGGAACTCACCGTCATGAAAAAGCAGTGTCTTGTCAACGGGGTTTCCTCGCCATCACCGCACGGGTTGTTGGTGTAATGCACACACCAAAATCTCTAATGCTCCACGGCGGCTTACGGCTCTATGCGTTTGAATGGGAAACAGGCAGATACGAATGATTCATTGATAAATTCACAACTATCATATTTATTTGAATGATTATAACAGGTTTCATTGCCCCCATCAATTCCAGACAAATGTTATTAGACTTTATCATGACAAACAGTAGAGGGCGGGCCTGTGTTTGCCACACCTAACTGACGTTGCCCAGGTATGAGTTGCGTGTATAAACACAATTCCTACGTAAAGCCAATCAGAGTCAGAAGTTTACATGGGTTAAACCACAGACATACACATATATATATGTTTATGGGTTAAACGAGACTTATTTTTGTGTTCAATATTTTTATAAGTATATAACTTGTTGACATACTTTCAAAATCCTGCATATCTCTTAAAGATGATTAAATAATCCAGCATTGCAAATCTAAAACCTTTATGAATCACAACAACATTACATTGCCATTAACCAGTAAGTAACAGTATATAAATAGGTGTAAGATTTGTTTAACTAAATTACAAAGAAACAGCAACTGTAAGCAGGCCTCATTATTAAATCCTTGATACGATTGTATTTACAATTTTAAGTATTACTCACTCTTTAGTACATTTTGAATTAAGTGACCATAAGACATTTAGAATTTTGATCATGCTTTTGAATCATTCCTGTATAATTTCTATCTGTTGCTGCAAGTTTTTTCTTCCAATGCATCAGACCTTCGTTTTTTAAATAAGCCACACAAGAACATTGGCATGAATGTTGAACAATGCACAAATTTTAGTTTGTGTTTGTCTTGCTATTGTTGCATAAGTCTGCTTTAAAAATGATATATAAATGTCTTATACTCTGATGTGCGTCTTAGTTTATATTGGTTATAAATTATATTGATGAAAATTATTGATATGAATTATAAATTGTGTTGACATCAATAATGATTATAGTGCATAGTAGCTCCGATACAGCAGGTGGCAGTGTCCCAGCTTCTTATTCTATAAAGACACGAAGAAGAAATTTGACGCTATCACTTCCGTATCTGTTGTTGGTGTACAAACATAACATGGACGCAACTGTGGAAATGAATATGGAAAAGGGATTTAATGGTGAAAACTGTGCCCCCAATATTCAAGAGCGACTTCAGAAACGAAACCAGGCCAGGATAGAAGATGCCGAGCGGAAGAAAGAAACCAAACAGAGCCAGTCTGTTGCCGAGGAAAAGGGTGAATATTTTTCGAACGCATTCAACACGGAGAGGGCGTGTATCGACGAGCTGCTGTCCAACTGCTCCGGGGCGGATAGGGCTGTGGTGACCCAGAAGCTGGAGGAAGCAACGGCCAAAACGCTGCAGCTGCAAAAGTTTCTTAGCGATAGCATACTGTTTTTGACGCCATACGAACTGAGCAAGGCTCAAGCGGCTCTGCAGAAGCTCCAGTCTTCCATTGCTGAAACCAGAGAGGAGGCTATGCCTAAGAAAAAGTTTGCCTTTCGAGGTCGCACCAAGGCATCAGATAAAGTCTCTGCAAAAGCCTCAGCGGCCGCTCCCCGTGACTCAGCTGTTACCAAGGTGGATGGAGCTCCAAACCCAAAGCAGTGTGGTTTCACCAACATGAGCAATGAGCTTCTGACTAAGACAGCAGAGGAAGTCCTAAATCAAGACATGCTGTTGACTCATCTTACCAACTGCAAAGTCCGTCTGTACGGCACCCCCAGCACCCTGCACCTGAAGCATATCGACAACTGTGAGATCCTGTGTGGACCTGTGTCCACCTCGGTTTTCGTAGATCACTGCAGTAACAGCACGCTGGTGTTCCCCTGTCAGCAGCTGCGGACGCACCACACCACCAACACCCAGGTGTATCTGCACGTCACCAGCCGGGCCATCATCGAGGACTGCCATGGGGTCAGCTTTGCCCCCTTCTCGTGGTCTTATCCCACTCTGCACGAGGACTTTGCTGTGTCCGGGCTTAATCGGGACACAAACAACTGGAGCCAAGTGGATGACTTCAACTGGCTTGCAGCAGGAACACCTTCCCCAAACTGGTCTGTCCTTCGTGAGGAAGACAGAAAAACATTTCTTTAACATTTCAGCCCCTTAGATGTCAAAAAGGCACGTCAGTCACAGCTTCAAGTGAACTGCTTTATTGCTTGATGCACATATTTAATATCTGTGCTATTTAATGAAGACCATGGGGGGTAAATACCCATGCTGTTGATGCCTGTAGCTGCACTCCTTGAAATGCAATTGACAAAACTCACATTTGGACTACATGAGATTAGTTGACCTGTTTTTTGACTAAAATAAAATTCCAGTTCTTGTAGCTGAGTTTAAACTAGGATCTTGCAGAAGCCCCGCTTATGTTCACTATGTTTAAGGATGTGCTCCATGTGTAAGCATTCTTTGAAATTAAAAAAATAAAATTTGGTAACAAGGTGTGCTTCCCACATAAAGGCTACAGAGTGATTTGTTTCTCTTTATTTCTTTATTTCAACCTTTCATGCAAGTTAAAGGCAAACTCCTATTACAAGTGACATATTCACTGACAAAAGTGTGTTTTACAGAATTTTCTATGGAAGAAAACTTCATGCAATTTTGAAGATTCACTGATGTGTACTTAATCATTTAATCAGTTTAGTGATTTATTAACCATTTAATTCTGTAGTGAACCTTTAATTTTAAACTAATGATGTTTTGATTCCATGTTTGCCAAATTATGTTAATTTCCAAACAACACATTTAAAGTATCTTTGGTGCAAAAACTTTTTTATGAGAATTGCTGCAACAGAGAGAAAATCTTATCAGATAACTTAAGTGTAAACGTTTGGTGTAGGCGCAAACTGCTAATGAATGCTAACTTATTTATCTGAGCACTTAGTGATCTGTTAATCTTATCAACCGCACTGATCTCTTTAGAGAAGGAAGTGTGAGTTATTGTCACTGTTGCAAAGCACGTTTGAATTTGAAGGACTTCCTACTGACTGAAAATCACAAAAAAGTCATTTTTAAATCCCTCTTTACAATTTCTAATGTAGTTCAGAAGCAAATAATCTATCATATGACCAATCTGTTATAGTTGCAGGTAAAAAGTTGTCAATGGTCTTCACCAGATTTCTTTTGTTTTTAAATAGCTTCTAAATTAAATGGGTATTTTCAACAATGGTCAACAAGTGAAATGATCAGTTTAAAACTGACTGATGTGTTTATGACTGATATGTTCAAGTTGTATTTCAGTGTAAGGCATAACGAGAGAGATTGAAACAACGCACCACTGAAACTAAAGGCACATTTCTCAAGGCAAGCAAATGTTCAGGGAAAGGAGCAGTTTGTTCATTTATCCTCATCCCACATGCTGACAGTAAACCCAGCTTGCTAAAGGCAGGTCCGCAACTGTGCATTTTAGCTCTGCCATCTCTGGAAAGAGAGCGCAAGGTTGAAAATATAAAGAAACTGTGTTGTGTAAAAACATTTAATTTTCATGATTTATTATAAATGATCAGATTTACTTTCAGTCAATGAAAATAACCACCTAACTAGGCTTTGGAGGACAATGCTTAAAACATTTAATGGTAATTATCATGGTAATTTGAAAACCATGTGTTCGCAGACAAAAAAGGCCTTAATTGTACACTTAGGGGTTCGAGACCCAATTACCCAATTATGAGTGAATGTAATGTAGCTGTTGAGCATTTCTGTCAACGGGCTGAGTGTTTGGTAATTCGTCCCATTCGCTTCAGTGTGAAGACATCCGGCTCGTGTTGATCATGTTCACCTGTGAATGGTCGTGTTCCACTTTTAGCTCAACTGTCATCTTCATGATCTTTGTCTGCCTTCATCTCCAAGTTTGTTCCTTCGAGGCGGCCACAACCACGTGAACACTCAAACCAATTATGGCGCCCGGTAGCGGCTTACGATCAGGCTCATCTTCTGTGTATGTGAGGGGGGGGGGGATTTCTGTAAATTGGATCAGGCTACTTACAAGGGCTTAGCATGACGTAGTGCAACTTTGAGTTTAATCATGAGACTCTTTGGCAATCCTTTACCTTTCCAAAACAACGGTACATCACAATTAGCCTCACCTGTGTACGAGGACGGAAAAGTGGTTCAAATTTGTAGAAGTGAACTGGAATGTTTCTGTCACCATGCGAGAGAAGAAAGCTTTGAGGAAATAGGACTTCTTTGTTACACCAGGGTGCTCTTTAGTTGTTAATCTCTACTACTTTGCAGTGGGATGGATTCAATGAGCAGATTTTCTCGTTCTTGTTCGTGCTGAAGGACACCCCTTAGAACAAAGCAAGGTTTGACAATTCAAGAGTTTTTGTCTGACTAAAGATCTGGGGTTGTGTATCATCTATCTGTCTTCTTCACAGGCGAGGACATTTTAAAGATTGAACGATGGCTTTGATGGTTGTAAAGTTTGACCTTAAAAAGCGGGTAAAGCTTGCTCAGACTGTCTGGTTCATGTACTGGTTTGCTGTACTTGCTGGCATCCTGGTTCTCAGTTTGGGCTTATTTTTCAAGATAGAGCTGCGAAAGCGCTCAGAACTCATGGATAACAACGAGAGCCACTTCTTGCCTAACTTGCTTATAATCATGGGGCTTATTGCCTGTTGTATCAACGCCTTCGGAGGGAAAGTCTGCTACGACTCCTTGGACCCGATCAAGTTTGCCAAGTGGAAGTCCCTATTGAAGACCTTCTTGGTGTTCTGCATGGGCTTCAACGTCCTACTGCTTGTCACTTCCCTGCTGTGTTTCGTGATGAGGATCCCTCTGCAGTTTACCCTGGCCGAGGGCCTGAAAAACGGCATGCGGTTCTACAAGGACACAGACACACCGGGGCGCTGCTACATGAAGAGGACCCTGGACCTGATGCAGATGGAGTTCCGCTGCTGTGGGAACGACAACTTCAGAGATTGGTTTGAGATTCAGTGGGTTAGCAATCGCTACCTGGACTTCAGCGCTAAGGAAGTCAAAGAGTAAGTGCCAAAGATTGAATACCAAATCACTCGTGATAATATTTATGAGATTATCTTTTACATGTTATGTGAAACGGGTCCTGTTTAGCTGTAGTGTGCAAAGTCGGGGCTGCAAGGTTGGGTTGCTTAAGGTGTGTTCTGTTCAGAGTTGAGTATAAGTGGATTCGTGGTGCAGGTAGGTCAGAGCGAGTGCATTCACTTTCGTCTTCTGAGGATTACCTTCACCGAAACAGTTAAAGCTGCTGGTAGAGACAGAAGGTGGAAGAGGTTACACGGCAGTTTTCTGGAGGACAGTCAGAAGAATACAGAAAGAGAAACGTTACACATGTGACACACAGACAATGCTTAGAAAGTCCAGTGATCTGTTACTTCTTTTCACTCAACTTTGTGTAAACTATTTTTTAAAAAGATAGTTTTGAGGACTTGGTCTTAATTAGCATTTAATCTCCAGGATTACATGTCCTGCGAAAATCAGTGCCCTTTCCAATCTGCGGAGAACTTGGCAACTGTCCAGAGGTAGCGCTGGTCAACAACATCTTGCTGGATATTTTGACATCTGCATTTAAAAGAAAACACATTTTTCCACTATGAACATTATTTTTGGACCTCTTAAGAACTACGCAGGGCTTTATGAATGATTAAAGAGCTGAGATACCGTCTTTTGCCTATGCCTGTTAACCCCTTTTTCCCCCTAAAAAAATATTTTAAATAGCAACTTAATAGTCATAAAGATTTATATAGGCTATAGTACACTTAATTGCCTGTAGCTCTGAGCTAAGTGTAATCTGGGGCATTATTTTTGGGCCTGATTAGGTGGTGGTGTTTCTGGAAATCATTGATGCTTTGTGATCCAATCACGCTCGTCTTTCCATTGACCCACTACGATCAGTCACAGTTTAGATCAGCTCTTCAGATTGAGCACTGACCCACATTTACATATTTAGCTTGCTACTTTGTTGATCATTGCAACATGAAGGTGTCAATGCCATGTGAAGGCCTGCCAAAGAGAGGCAACATCAGCTGATGGAGGAACCTACAATCCATCAGGAAAACTCAACTTTATTTGCTTTACTTTTGTTTATGATGCGTTATCAACTATTTCCATTTTGCAAGTGGTGAACAGAAAAGAATGTGCATGGATGTGATAAGCAATGAACGTACACTTTACAGATAATTCTGAATTATTTTCATACTTCATCAAGTTTGTAGTGATTTTTCATGTTTTGTCTGTGTGAGCTGTTTGCTTGTGCTGTGATAGTATCTTATTAGCCCATACAGATTAAACAAGAATGTGAAAAAGTAGATTGGCTTATTCTTCAGCCTCATTTTAATGTCAGTCTCACTGGACTTTGTCTTGCCTTCTCAGTCGCATTGGGAGCAATGTGGACGGCCAGTACCTGATGGATGGAGTGCCATTCAGCTGCTGCAATCCCAGCTCCCCCAGACCCTGCATCCAACACCAAATGACCAACAATACAGCTCACTACAGTTACGATCACTACACAGAGGAGCTCAATGTGTGGAGGCGTGGCTGCCGCGACGCTTTGCTGTCGTACTACGGAGGCATCATGAACACCATCGGAGCACTGGTAGTGCTGGTTGCCATGCTGGAGGTCAGGACTGCTGAGACACTGACACAAATATTCCCACAGATGTGTTCATTTTACATCTCATTTTAGACGGTTCAGTGAGAACACCCAGACATTTTATAGAATTGCTGTGATTCAGGAAGGAGGTAGAAGTCTAATATTTGCATTACGTTTCAAGTTTTGCTGTATACAGATCAGATTTGCTTGTATTTTGCAGCATTATTATTGTTTTTACGTATAAGCAGAAAACCCCTCACACACAATTCCAACCACACCTTTTAATACACTTTTACTTCACCCAAATGAGCCCCAGGTTCCCCTAAATGGCGAGTAATAAGCAATTTCATGCACCCATACGCACTCACATGCATTCGTGAGACTATTTTTTAATCATAAACTAACCAAAAGGACAAGAGACAGACAGAGAGCGACAGGGGGAACACATCATTGGTAAAGATAAATATGCTCACTTTACACATAGAGGCCTTTTCTCAAATCATCCCACTCTGCTTCACATATGTAAAAAAATTTCTTTGCCAGAGTTATTACAACCTGTTACTACAGAGGGAGCCAAAGAGCAGAAAAAAAAAAAAAACTATTTTGAGAATCAATGAATATGCAAATACTTACATTTGATACTGTGGAAATTAAACAGTTCATCATATGTTTGCAATGGCTTAAAAAGTGTTTGGACATGTCCACGGTCTGGGAAAGGTCTTTCCCTCTGTGACTGCTTCAGCACTGTAGAGTTTCTGAAAGTTATTTTCTGCAGCCTGCAGTTTTTCTTCCCTTCACATCGACATCACCATGTAACACATTACTTAAAGGCCTTGTTTGGTGTATGAGGCACCAAAAATAACGCCACAATTTAAGCTTATCATACAATTTGCATGTTTTGCATCTCCAGCTTCATTTTAGCGACTGTGGATGATCTCAGATGACTTATGTGCAATTGACTCGATCAGTGTAAAAAGTGGGAGCAGAACCATCCCAACAGGCCATCCAGATAGAGTAAAATTTGATTCTGATGCAATTCCAACAGTGTGACTGTGTACTTTTGACACACAGAGAAGGACTGGGCCTGTTCATGCGGACAACTGTTTTGGTCAATGGTCAAATGGTTATGGTGACATCATGGTTTGTGGGTTTCTGGTGATGAACGAGAGTTAACTGGTCATTTCAGGAAGTGGGCCTTAAAGAATCACGAGATGAAGCCATCCGTTATGATGATACTCTCTCATCACTTAATAAGAAGTCATGTGTCATGTGTGTAAACACGACCCATTTGACATTTCTGTAAACTTCTACTTACTGCCCCTCCTTTTAAAACGCACATTTCGTCTTTTTGCTTAAACTTCATTCCAACCCCTTTTTTTTCTCATCCTTTACCATATTTTTAAAGTATGGCCATGCAACGTAATTAGTGTCCCACTGATGTCCTACACAAAGAGTAATCCTGTAGAAGCCATTTGACATCCCTCAATTCTCTCCTCAGACTCTGCTGCCAATGTTTGTTGTTCTTGTTGTTAAGCCCAAGATGTCTGCTGGCTAAAACAGACAATTATGTACCCATGAGTCCTTGAAACCTTGAAGTCAGTGATAGCAATCACGACGTGAATCGTTTGAGGTCCCATATCTCCGCAAAGAGACAGTAAATAGAGTCAATTAGATAAAATCTCTGTTCCAGAGTTAAGGAATGAAACCCCTGTTCTGAAAACATGGATTTAAGCACCTCATAGAATCTGATCAGATGCACAGTGGGAGGAATTCCAGATTTAACAGGAGTTATGCAAGCCTCTCTGGGCTGACACAGATAGTAGGTTCAGAGAGGGAGTAATGGGTTAATCTGAAGAAGGTGATAAGGACAGACCCAATTCCAGGGGCTTAATCTGATGTCTTTATTTACAGAAACTGACTTCTAGATATTTTATTTTGGATAGGATTAAACTTTGTTGCAAGAGTCACACTTTTGAATGCAGTCATACGTGTTTATATTACATAAGTCCATCAAATCTGAGCTATCTAAGGCATCTTGAGTTATGTTGGGTAAAGCAGCCAAATGTTTACAGAAAAAAAATGGATTCGTCAACCTTAACTTCCAAATTGGTTTTCTGGGAAATTAATCTGTTTATCTTTTGTTCCTGAAAGAAATGTTGTCAAATACTAATAGGTCATCCAGATCTTCATTTTTAACCTATTATTCGTATCTCTTTAAAGTTGTGTACTCCTCAATATTTAATTGATTTCAATGCTTTATAGCAAGTTTTTTCACATGTGGCCTGAAATGCTAACGGTCTGATGGTTTTTTCCTTCTACCTAGTAAACAAAGTATCATATTTCTCATCAGAAAATGGCACTGAGGTGTATCCATGTGTCCCTGTCCCTCAGGTTGCTGTCACCATTGGCTTGCAGTACGTCGACAGCTCCCTGTCCACTCTGGCGAACCCGGAGGACATTGAGAGCGAAAGCGAGGGCTTTCTCCTGGAGAAGACGGTGAAGGAGACGTTCACTGACGTCATGGCCAAAATGAAAGCCATGGGCAAAGGCGGCAAGGTGGAGGAAGGGGGTGAGGAAGGGGGTGTTGCAACTGTGAGCTGAGTGAACCAGAACTGCAAAAACTGTGAAGACTGCAACCAGAAAAAGAGAGACGTGTTGTCACTGCTGTTTTTTTCTACCACCATTTACTTTGTAGGCACTATCATCTCACACAAATATGATCATCTCCTTTTAAGTGGACCTCTAACAAATGGAATTCTTAAGTAATTTTTTCTGTGTATCCCTTCAAATAAATATAATGATTGCAGTGATTACCGACAGTTAAGTTAGACTTATTTCTATGAAACAACTTACTTCAGATCAGATATGAATGTTTTTCCAAAAAAGAATGGAAAGAACAAATCAGCTAAATGTTTATTGATAACATGTTGTCTAAGATATTTTACAATCACCATGAATTCTGTACATTATTTTTGTATTGCCTGTCACATAGCTTTGTGGGGATGATGGCTGCTATGCAATTCTCCCTCTCTTGGAGGCCAAAAGTGCAGATATTTACATCCCATTAAACACAGTGTTGAATTTTCTGACCTGTCTGTAATGTGGTTTGTAGCTGATATTGTGTATAGTCAAACTGAACAGATTAACTCACAGTTACCCAAACTCAGCTCTTTTCATACTCCAGTCTACCTTTGACGCCCGGCTAAGCCCCCGAGAAGGAGTAAACTTCTGAATTGAGTCAGCATGAATTATGTATGAATGTTGCAGCACATGACTGAATGGGGAGGCTTGGGAATCAGGAGGTGCCCCCTGGAGAGAAGAAGGGGGCAATTCCAAACATGTGGAGGAAATTGGCAGCTAAATCTGGGCTCTGACCCCTGTCTGTAATCTTTGCCACTTCCCCTTTGCATTCGGTATCTTTTCATTGATGCATACAGTACGTATGTATATGTATGTTTGTATATTCTAAGAAACTTGGTCTTTGTACATAGTGTAGAAAATAATTCTACTTTTTTAAAATAATGTAATTAAGCTAAATCTTTTATTTAAATCCATGTGAAGTTTTTTTTTTTTTTTCCAAATGATGCTTTCAGCTTTATGTATTAGTGTGGGAAAAAAATGTGTACATGAATAAAGGAGTGTAGAAATGTGATCGGCTGGTGAAATAATGATGTGTTGTTCTGACCTTGAGCCGCAGAGAAGGAAGATCAAAAGGCAAGGCATTCTGCGAGTGCTGCAGGGTTCCTGATTAAGTCAATAGGATAAAGGCAATTACGGTATTACTGCTTTCACATGGACATGGGATGACTCTTCACATGTTCAGCATTTGGCCATGTGTGTGAATACCGCGGGTGGTTTTACAGCAAATGCATTCCCAATCTTATTTTTGTGGGGGACTTTTGTGGGTAAAATACATTCTGCCGTTGATGCCTTTATTGATTTTGGTGCATTAAATCTGTTTTAGAATGAGCTTTGACTTCAGAAGATGAACAAAGCAAATCTTTTGATCCCCTCAGCCCGCATATTGATAAATAATAACCAGAAAGGCACTGTTTATCCCTCCTCTTGACACATAATCCACTAATAACGTGTGCATCTGAGCTGAGATCCACATACTCCACAAACTCCCACCATGAGGCATGAGGAGCCATCTTATCAAAGCCGTGGTGGTTTACCAAGAGCCCATGAAGGAGGGGTGGCTCTGAAGAGTCAGCAAGAACAGTAAAGAGGCAAACTCAGTGTGGTATTTGGTTGGACCAAAGCACATAACCAGTGCTGAGTAGATAAGAAGCCTAATCGGCTTGAGATTAGCATGAGCCCCTGAACCAGGTGAGCAGGTGAGGTCCTGCCGCAGGACTCACATCCAAGATATGACGCAGACAGACAAACATGAGAAAATCAAGATCAGAGCAAGATCAGAGCACAATAGCATCCAGTTTTGTAGATTTAGCAAAAATGGACATAAAATGTGTAAAAAGCTGAGGTGGAACATATGTTCAGCCCCTGGGATGAAAAAATCTACTAAAGTTTACATGAAAAGAGAATTTTTGCAGAAGACAACTATGAAGTAGCACCTAAATGTGAGGGATAAACTGCTGAAGGAGCATTTTTCTTAATGAAAGTAAGATAACAGTACCAGCACATCAATCAGAGTGAACGTGAATGTTAATGTTGTTTCCAGAAAGTTCTGGTTCACTCTTGATTCAACGAAAACACTTAATGTGTCCTCTGTTAACTCTGCTGCTCTCTGTTGGTGACTGAGGGTAACAGACTGATCGAAAATCATTGTGTCCTGCTGCAATCCATCAAAGACCCCCACATATGTAACCAGTTTTCCAGTAAATATACTTTCTGTCACGTGACAATCTGATCTGTGGTTCCACCAACTGTTTCGATGCTTGTTTACAGACAACTTTTACAGCTTGGCTTCTTCAGATGTTTTTTTTATCAGGCCACCAATATCTCCCAGACTTAATCTTTGACAGATTTGGCGGATTGTATCAATTACTGTAAGATTTTGACCACCTACTCATGTTGAGCAGATGCAGTTAAACAGGATGACCACAAGAGGGTGTGTTCTCATTATAATGTTACTGAGCTGAGCCTTTAATAGCCGCAAAACTTAAAAACTAACATGTTTTTTAATCCATTTCCGCTATAGAACAAGCAAATATATTTGTAAATAGCATAATTATCACATTTAAATAATCGGAGGGAGGAGGGGAATATACATATATAATGAAGCCTGAAAACTTTATTAATCAGTAGACACCCCTGTGGAAAAGAGCCCTTGAGATTTTGTTGGGTAACTTCAGTCCAAATAAATGTAGTTTTTAATCAGAAACATGTTTCTCTGTTAAATTAACCTTGAACTAGTAATATCCAGAAGACGATGGTGTGTGGACAAAATACATAAAATCTTAGGAACTGAAATTTTGGTAGGCTTAACCATTTATGACCATTGTGGTTTAGACCAATTTTTCAGTCTTTTTAAAATATAGTTTAATTTTTGTTCAGTAACTTGGACTGGAGGCTTTGGAAGGCAATAAAAAAAGTAATATTAAACAATGGTTTGATACTATTTGTTTTGCAGGTTTCTGAGATTAGGCCTCTACAAGCCTACAGTTCTAAACCTGGAAAACACTATTTTAGATTACATGGAAAAGGAAAAAGTAGTAAATATTTACATTTTCAAAATGAAAACATACTGTTTTTTCACTTGCACCATAAACATGTTATGAAATTTTAGCAACTTTGATAAAACTTTATCAAACTTTATCAAACTTTATCAAAATGTCTAAAATGTCTGGGAATTTCAAAGCTTTTCAAAGCCCAAACAGAAATGCAAACATTTCTTAGTCTAGTTAGTTATGTAGAGGTTAAAACAAAGCTGGATCCATGAAATATTGTAATTTTGCTACGTAAAAGGCCTAAAGTTACTATTGTTTGACATCTTGATCCTCAATAACATGGATGATGCTAAATGCCGATGAGAGAAAAGAAAACACCCAAAGTGTGAACTGCTAACCGAGGGCAGCTCGAGCTGGCCGACTTAAGGCTTCAGGCAGATGTTAGGAAATGCTGCGAGCACACCTCACTTCACACTCCTCTGTGGGCTGAATGAACATGGCAGACAGAAAGAAAAGCAGAGACAGAGGCTGAGAGGGAAAGAGAGGCCCGTGACTGGTAGATGTGTGGCCTGCTCAGAGGGGCATTGTTGGAGCTATGAGAGGACAATGCACTGCCCCCGCCCTGAATACTCGCCATACCAGCTGACCAGCCATTACCAGCACTGCTGCCCCGTTACAATTCCTGCTGCTCCGACACACACACACACACACACACACACACACAGACACAGCCTTGATCATAAGTTTAGTCTTACAAGCCTGAAACACTCCGTGTTTAACAGAAGACAAGGAAAAGAAACCTTGTGGGAGACAGCATTTGACAAAAGGTTTAAGCCAAAACATGCACGGGCGAACACGTTTTCTTGTCTCCGTCTGTGTGTGTGTGTGTGTGTGTGTGTGTGTGTGAGAGAGAGAGAGAGTGTGCGAGCACATGTGTGAGATTTACAACAAGTTAAGTTTAGATCCTCGCACCTATCTGTTCCCAACATTTCTCCTGCCCGAACTGCAGGAACCTCCCGATGAGAACAAACACAACCCTCACACTATCGTATTATTTCAAGATCCCTGACAAATGTTCTGAGAGTGGAGGGTGTGGAGGTTCAGGAGATGGGTTTATGTCAGCGTGTAGGGGAAGGGGGTTGGTATCCAGATAATCCATTTAAGAAGAATTACTGATACCGCACTGAACACTGAAAATGTAAAGTTCTGTCATTATCATTGAAATATGAACAATCAGGAAGTCCTGCATTTTGCCACCAGCTTTGCTCAGAAAATCTTAAGATCTGATTTGGAAAAACTGTCATCTAAAAGTTTATCTTACATCATGTGTCACGAAAAATAAAGATCAGCAGTGTGAAACTAAGGAAAATTATTGGTCAGAATGATCAATTTACCTGATCAAAAACATTCTAATATTTTAGTTTATATATATACATACACAGGAAATAAGGGGAAGCACTTGAACTTATTCATCTATTGGGACAGTTCATCTTGATTTATACTTTTATCTAGAGCTGCATGGTTCTCACATTACGTTTTCTATATAGAAGACAAATAATCTGACTCTAACACAAGGGTACATATGTTTAGCTGTTCACACTATCAAAAAACAGCACCATTTACTGTTTCTTAAACTTGTTGTCCAAAATAATACTCAGAGCAGAAGATAAACTTGAGGCATTTCAGGCCTTTTCAGTCTATACTTCCCAAAGACGGTCTATCTAGTTTACTGTTGTTTTAGTCTGTGATATTCATTCCTTTTTGTTCATATGTATGGCTCCTTTCACATTTGATTCAAATTACAGATCACTGCGAGACTCGTTTGTTATGGTTGGCATATGTATCACAGAAACAAATGTTGGCTTATGCCCATATCATCAGCATCTCAGAGGCTGTTAATCCTGGAAAGGGGGCGTTTTTTTAGGGCACCTGTCCTCGGGCCCTCCTGCAGGAACCGGGTGACGGACAGCCCCTGCTGCAGAGCAGGTGGGCATACCTTTGGTGGGCCTGTGACATTGTTATACGGTGGGGGTGTGTGGGGTGTGGGGTGACTTCGTGCGTGGTAGATACGAGCGTGACAGATAGAAAAAGAGAGGCTGGGCGATAGAGGAAAAAAGGGACGGACACGGCCCCCCACCCCTCTTCACCCCCACCCCCCTCCTCCTCCTCCTCCTTCCCGGTCCCTCTGATAGCGGCGACGCGCAGCGCGCCCCCGGCAGTTCACTCGTGCTGCCGCCGTACTGTAATCATATGATAGGGAGCCGAGCCCCGCCGCAGCACACATACCCACACAGCGGGCGGAGGAACAGGCGGAGGAACCGGGCCGGGGGAGACTAGCTGATGGTCCATTTTGGTCGCCGCCGTTGAGAGCAAGTGCACGGAGTCGGTCCAACTGTCAAACGAGAAGCCAAACTTCACCCCCTGAACGGAAACTTTTTCAAACTCCGGAGAGAGTCGAGCGGAGGAGGGGGGGGAAAACCGTTGTGGGAGAAGACAGAGGTGCTCCCTAAACCGAAGGACAGTCGTTATTTTATTTTTTTTTAAACCCGGAGAGTTGAGTTTCATCCGCTAGCTACAGGAGAGGGTCTGCGGGCGGAATCCCCCGGGGATACCTCGTAGCACTTTTTTCAGAGGCGTGTTTGTGGTCAAATAAATAAGAGGTTTTCTCCACTAGATAGGTCAGTCGAATAAAACAAAAAAAAAAAAGCCATGGTTGGGGAGACAGAGGTGAAGGAGAGACCCAAGTCCAACCCGGACTATCTAATGCAGCTGATGAACGACCGGAAGGTGATGAGCTCGCTGCCCAACTTCAGCGGCATCTTCACGCATCTGGAGCGGCTGCTGGACGAAGGTAAGTCGTCTTCCCCTTTTTTTTTGTACCTCTTCCCCCCCCCCCCTTTCCCGCCTCCCCCTCCACCGTTAAAAACTTCCAACCGCCAGTCACAGCTCTAATGAAACAAGTCTGGTCTTTTCACTTTGAAAAGCCTCGAGTTTGATGGGCAGTGTTCATAAAAGTGGCCGTTTCTTGCTCTCTCCATTGAATAGTGATTAAAGTGCAGGAATTCCTGAGGGGCTCCTGGGAAACGTGACAGCACTGTTGTCCCCCAACACTGGTTTGATGCCAGTGATAAATGATTACTCTGGCACCGTCTGTTTTTTTCTTCCTCTTCTTCTGTTTTCACCCAAAGCACTTACACACACTGTGTTTGCAAATCCTTAAATCTTATGTAACTATGGGTGAAAGGGTGTGTTTATTGTTTTTAAGTCTGATTTGTATTTATTTCTTTTAAATCTGCTAATAGCAGTTGGAGCACACGCACTCACACGCTCGGGCACTTGGTGATGGGAACAAACAGACAGTTGTTAGTCTTTCCCAGTGACCTAATGCGCAGGCTTATGTGAATGCTGCAGCCCATCCCTGTGCAGGAACGAGAGCGTGTCACTGTGTGAAGTATTTGATTCGAGGCTGCTCACAGGGCCCAAGTCGTGCCGCCCGTACGAGTCACTTGTTGATACCCTATATTTGTTGCACTTGGAAGTGTTTGTTGCACTTGGAAGTAGTCGGGCAAGGCGCAAAACAGGAATCACTGCATTGCAAAGAGGCGCCTTCCGTTCCTTCCGTTTTAGATGTCACATGCATCCACTATTAGGGATGCCGTTCTTGCTCTCAGTGGCCGACGCCTCTCGTTGCCACTGTTGTTGCGCATCAGGATCACCCTGGTCCTGATTCTGTGCTCTGTGACAAGTCTCATGACACAGCAGAGCTGGCCTCCCACCGGATGACCTCTGGAGCTCAGACAAATAGGTCACCCTAACATCTCTAGTGGCGTTCATGCGGAGGACTGACAGCTGAGCATATTCCCCTCTCACACGTGATAATGTGACGGCTGTGGTCAACACGGGAGGCTTTGTACCACGCTCCTTTCCAGCTTAGCTGTGTCGTCCGCTTTAGTCATGCCGCCGGGGTGCTCAGTCGTAAGGTCTTTGCACTAAAAAAAAGTTTGTGTGAGGTATCGTCAGAATACGTGTTTGTTTCAACCTGCGGTTTGGTCCTTTCTATATTTAATCCGATGACAGGTTGAAGTGTTTAGATAGGGCTTGCCACTGCTCCCTCCCCCCATCATCTTTTTCTCCTTTGGCCAACTCTCTTGTTCTTCTTTCACTTCTCATTTCCCCCCAGCCACTTTTAACCCAAGTGTGACAAAAGCCATGCTTGCCTGTGCAGATTTGTTTGTACGTGCGTGTTTTAATTGTTTGTTTCAGTCCCCAATAGGTCAGAATAGGTTATTAGAGGATCATCCTTGTCCCAGTGTCAGTGGTTGTAATTATAGCGTTCTACTGGTGTTATTATGGTCAGACTTATCACTCTGTGAGGAGGGAGACATGCCTGTCAGCCTGCTTAGGTCAGATGATATTTGTGCCCCAAGGCAGTTATTCTGCTGTGTGTGTGTTGGTATGTGTGTGATTTCAGAGCAGGGGTGTGTGTTTACGTGTGGCATATGTGTTTGTCTGGTGCAGTAGTCGGTTATTACTGTGCTAGTGTGTCATTACGAAGGTATCAGAGGAGAGCATTGGTCATTAAGACAGACATAAACAAGCACACTGGCAGGGAAACATGCAGTCATTCATGATCTGTTCTTTACCGAACTGACACCATAAATTGGACTATTTAAGCAACTTATTTTTTCTTGACTCCTTTTAGGTTAATGCAAAGTTTTTAGATTCAACTAATTTAGAAAAACTGTTTTTTTGGGTTGTTTTTCTACTTCATTCATTATTGAAATTGAAATTATTAAAATTTGAAACCAAATTACTCTCACATTTCCAGTGTTGCAGCTTTTTCCTTTTGAGCGGATTATTTTGGAGTTTTGGCCTTTTCCGCTGGACAAAACGAGACATTAACAGATGACAACAGGATTTTTTTTTTTAAAATAGGCATATCAAAGAGATTAAAAAGACAAACTTAACTTGCAGCTATAGGGTTTTCTTAGGATGTAAACACCTTTTTTATTTGCTGTTGTCGCATCATTGTCGTGCACTCGAACTTCATAAACACTTGTAGGTAGCACAGGTCACTGTGACCGCCACTAACACGCTATTTGCGGAGTAAAGAGGGGAACGACCTCTGTGTTACTTTAAAGAAAAAGAAACCGCAGTGGGAAAATTGTCAGGGATGTCGGAGGCCTGGTTGCAAAGCATTCAGTAGCTAGATTCTACAGCGTGGTGCAGAATGCTTATTACCATCTCCCTGCCTGTCTTTATGCCTTTCTATGTCAGCTGTCACATTCAGAGCTTCCTTTAATTCTGGTGACGGTGAGTCATCGTCCTGAGGAACGGACTGTCTGACGAAAGAAATGTGAAACCTCCTGTCCCCCATGGCCCTCCTCTGCTCAATCCACTCAACTTAACCTTCTCTTTTTCTGTCCCTCTCTTTCTCGGCCCCTTAAGAAATCGGCAGGGTGCGCAAAGACATGTACAACGACACGCTGAACGGCGGCATGTTCAACGGGCGGGACATGGAGGAGCTTCCCGAGGCCATCGGCCCCGTGGCTCAGCTGCAGGAGAAGCTCTACGTGCCGGTCAAAGAGTTCCCCGACGTGAGTGGACGGACGGACGACCTTTGACCTTTTTAGAGAAGCTTCTGTTTACCTTTCGCTGCTGTCACTTTATCTCTCCTTGTCAGGGAAAGACTACCACAAAGTCAGTGTGGGGACATCACGGGGACATTTTGCTTTGCAGTTATCTGAAAAGTGATTTCACTCTGAGATCATCTTCGCTCACACCCAGTGACGTAATCTACATTCAAAATAGATCAATACTGAGCCCAGATTGGTGTCTCAAACAAGATCAAAACGAAAAAAAGTGTGGTTCTAATAGAAGATTCAAATTAAAAAAGGTTTACTTCTCCAAACAGGCAACGTCTTGCTGAAAATCCAACCCCCCTCCCTCTGTGATGTGATGTTCTGCCCAACATTTACACCATAAATATTTATGGCTTTGCAAAGCTGGATTAAATTTTCCCCTAAAATATACAGACAAGTGCACAGCAGTTAAAAAAAAACTTTACCATCCAGCACATCATGCCAAGTACAGCTAAGCACTTCAATATGAGTTGCGTTGATCCAGATTGCATGGCTCACATGATTTCCTCCATGCATCAGCTCACCAATCACCCACTACAATGACGGGCTGTCCTCACTCACATGACAGCAGGCTAACAGGACACACACAGGAGTGCATTGGAAAATGGCTGAGATCAAGGTTAATTTTAGAGAGCAGTTCCTCTGTCTGGATTTGAGCGTGTTTGTTGGTGAGAGTGGAGGGTCGTCCTACAGGTCGGAATGCGTTGCAACTGTTCCCGAAGTAAACATTAGTATACAGATTCCAAAAACTTCAGAGGGAGGACTAAAGCGGGACGGAACTGGACAATTGTTAGGAGAGAGGCAGAAAAGAGACAGAAAGAGGCAGTGGCAAACGGGTAACGCACTCACAGAGGGGCAGCTGTCTAGTTAATCACTCAGTCCTAGTGACAGATAAGGTTAAGAGAACGCCGCTGTCCTGTCATTCCACCATCGCCAGCCAGCACCCATATAATGAGCTATTTTTGTCTCTCTTAGCAACACAAACACTTCAGAGATTCACAAACTTCAAAGGCACACTCCAACAAATACCTACGCAGAACAGCATGCGCTTTTTTCCTTCACTTTTACTCCTATTTTTAATGTGTGTTTTGCTCTTTTGGGCAGTTCAACTTCGTGGGGAGGATCCTGGGCCCACGTGGACTGACGGCCAAGCAACTGGAGGCAGAAACCGGCTGCAAAATTATGGTGCGAGGAAAGGGCTCCATGAGAGACAAGAAGAAGGTAAACACACACAAACACCCAGGACAGCATCTACTTTTTAATATTTTTATAAATCAGACACAGGTATGCACTTTTTATATGTTAGATTTATTTTAAGGATTATTTTTAGGAGATTCTAGAAGTCTAGAAACACACAGAAAGAACTGGAGTATCCGTCTCTACATGCCAACACCCACTGTGCTTCATATTGGTGTTTAACATAAGCTTTTCAGCTTTAGAGGTAATGTTACACCATCTATCTCGCCTTATAGGTACACTGCTACAGAAAGTGTTGTGCTATATAAGCTAGAGGATATATGATGACAAAAATAAGCCTCCCATACCATGAGTGGGGGTCTCTGCCCAGGCTCCATAGCATACTGAGAACAAGGGGTAAAAAACTGCTTTAAACAGCTAGTGTTTCATACATGAAAAGTGTGATTAACCATCATGGGCTGTGGGTTTTCTCAGTGCTGGTGACAGTGAACAAAAATGTGCTTATTATTAGCTGTTTGTGGTAAAGCTTGTGAATGACAACAGAGGATAAAGGCGGGGCCAATCAGCATAGTTACAGACTAAATAAACAAGACACTAAATCAAACAATGGTAAAAAGTTACATTTGGTTAATTTGATGGCACAGAGGGACTATTTTCTTAAGAGTTTAAAACAGAAAGGATTATTTTTTAGTCCAAGTGGTTTGTAGAATCATGTTAACACAAAATTAAATATATATTTTTTTAAATTAGGGAGCAGCACACCCAGAATTGGTTGGAGTTGGTAATAAGCGAACGCTGCATGGGCTTGAAAGGAGTCAAGTGTGAGCTTCTCTCTGCTGTCCGTTTATCGTATGGCAGCTGAAGGCGTAGCGCTCATGTGGGGATGACCCCGCTGGTGCCTCTCCGTAACATTTAACAACAGAAATCTGACTGGGTGGAACGCAGCTGAACCTGCGTATCATTTTCAACACGCCTGGCAGTGGAGGTTTACTTTGGTCTGTGAGACCTGACTGAAATCTGACAGAACCCATCAGCCCGTGTTGTTCCATCACACCTCCTACACACAGAGTACCTGTTTCTGCCCTCTCTGTTTCTAATTTAAACAAGTTTCAAAACCCTCTTTGTTCTTACCGCTCTTAAACTGTAAAACGAATCAGTCTGAGGCAGAGCACATGGTGAATGCATTGTCCATGCTGGACTCTGGGAACATTGGAAACTACATACAGTTTTTTGTTGTGATAACTATAAAAGTAGTTATGGGTACGCGAGATCCAAGAGAAAATACCTTGAGGGGACAATAAAGTATATGTTATTGTACTGAATCGTATCCAAGAAGTTATTAAATGAATAACTACAAATTCTGTCCAAACTTTCCTTCTCCATCATTTTAACTGCATTAATTAGGTAAAAGTTGTTGTTTTTTTCCTCCTTCGTCTGAGATAATCCCTCTGCTCTCTGCAGAAATCTGTAGGAATATCTTCAGTTGTTCGTATTAACAGCTGCTTTGTTTTATATAATTCTGTGTTCCTGTCGGACTGATGAACCTTTTTTATGGCAAAACGAAAGTTAAGATTAGCGGTTCTGATCTGAGAAGCAACAGAAGGAGACGCTCACGTTTTTCTAGAGTTAGCAATAGCTATGCATCTCACTGTCCAACATTTAAAGGTTACCAGACCGACTCCTCAGCCATCTTACATATGCAGAATCGTTTTATTTCAGCAGCTTCCCTCCACCATCGCTTTGTTTCACACAGCTGCTTGGCACAATGATATGATTTGTCATGGCGAGACGACACGTTGAGCCAGAAAGCTGGGAGGTCATGGATACTTCTGTCTTATATGTCACATGATGTACTGTCCAGTCTTGTGTTGAGGGCAGACATTGCCGTTCTTTCCCTCACTTTCTTCAACGTGTCTGAATGAAGCTGTGAGTAAGATGAAAGCAAAAGTGACCAATGTGTGAATGACTGAATGCAATCGCTTTAACACTTCACATAGCAGCCTGCCACAACACATCTATCTATCTATCTATCTATCTATCTATCTATCTATCTATCTATC